CAGCATAGGCGTAAAAAATGATGTCGCTAGAGTCCAGAACATAATTGGACTGCAGGGTTGAAGACTCCACTTCTGTTAAAGATTCAGATCCGTGCCAGACTGAACCAATCTTACTGTTAAAATTCTGCTTTGATACATGAGACTATTGGTTAATTATTTAATATTCAAATAGAAAGTATAAATCCTACTTTGATGACTTTGAAGAAAACAAAAAAAAAAAGAAAAAAAAAACAAAACTAAGTATAGCTAGATACTTTATATACGGACATGGACGAAATTGTTGCTACCCTTCTGTTAAAGAAAGCAAAACTCACAATAGTCACTGAAATAACTTAAAACTGACCAAAGTAGTAATAAATAAAAATGTACTGAAAATTAACTAACGATAATCAGACATTGTTTCTGAATTGCGGTTCAACAGAATCATTTTTTAAAAACAAAAAAAATGAAACTGGCCTGGACAAAAATGATGGTTCCCTTAACTTAAAATTTTGTTGCACCACCCTTTGAGGCAATCACGGCAATCAGGCGATTCCTTTTTTTTCCGACGGGTCTAAAATCGGCCCGTTAGGGGGAACCAATCCGGCCCACTTGGTGAATTCCGAAAATGCACAATGTTGGTGATATTTTTGCCAAATAATATTTCATAAAATATGAATATTTTCTCACATAAGGTTGAAGAGTTCTGTTAGCCAACTGGACGTGGAATCTTCTCAAAGAAGACGTTTCGCCTCTCATCCAAGAGGCTTCTTCAGTTCTAACTGGTGGTGGGGAGTACAGAAAATATATACTCTGGGTGTGACAAAGAACAAAAGCTACTTCAGCTTCCCCCTGTTGGCTGGGCGTTGGGGTCAACTGGGAAAGTGTAAACAGTCCACGTCCAGTCATCCAGGTCAGTTGACCATGACCTGGATGACTGAGAATCTTCATAGATTGTCAACTTGCACTTATAGGTAGTGTAAGTTCTTACCATACTTACATGAATGAATTAATTTTATCTGTCAAACTGGTCCTTCAAAGTCAGTTGGCAGGGCTAATGCTGATCTGGTCTGATCCATTGGACTGCAGTAGCAGTAACAATGGAGGACCATGATCTTTCTATGCAGCTGATGAGAGATACATTTAAGTAAGCATTTAATGATGTATTCATTTATTTTGGCAGTCATCCGTAGGCCATGGCTCCAAGTCTCTAAAGGCCGAGGCTTTTTAGTTCTCACTGCAATGCCTGTATATCCCCAGTAGATGGTGTAGAAATGGCTAAAAGCATTTTAGCATTTTAGCCTTTATGCATGACTTCTACAGGCCATTTATTTTAGTTCACACAAACGCTCCATCTATCTGCTCCTGACCTCGCCCCCCGGTCAAATTTTAGGATCCATCGTGGCCCGCGGGTCAAAAAGTTTTGCCCACGCCTGCTTTAAGTCATAGGAACAAACAAAAAAAACAAAAACAGGATTTAACAACAAGTGTTGTTTCTCAGTTTACGAAGTCCAGACAGGAACATGAACACATGGTTTGTTTATACTCCAGACTGGGTTTTATTAAGTCTGAGGTGATTCAGACAGTTTTGTCTGACTTTTGTCCCCATAAAACAACACGCTTGGAATAAAACAATAAAGCGCTAAACCTCACCCACTGCTGCGCTTTGACATACTGTACGCAAACACGCATTGTGACCACAGCCAGAATGGACCGCAGCTCTTTGGGTTCGCGTGTGTGTCTTTGCATGGGTTCATTTTTCTCTTTTCATCTGGCGTGCAGTTGTTTGTGTGCTTGAACATGGAAGGGCTTGGATTTTGTCAGCACAAGTGCTTTCGTGAGTGTCTGTCCATATTATTTTACCTGAAGCTCTGGACAGTTGCCAGGCAACTGTGGCGTGCAGGCAGTTTGGTGCATGGCTGGGCTTCCATGGAGCAGACACTTCTATGTGTCTTTGCTTTTTTTTTTTTTTTTTTTATAACAGAAGTTAGCATAGATACCAAACCAGGTCAGAGTCGCGAGTTCACCGCAGGTGATTTTACTGCAACACTGAAAGATTTCGTCTAACAAGAAATCTATACATACAGTACCAGACTCTGCCTCTGAGCATGAAGCATTAATAAGCAATGATCTTTATTTATTTATCATCCTTTTTCCTGTGTATGGCAGAAGTCTGGTCTTTATGTAAACACCTCCTAGCAATTAGACAACTTTCAGACAACATTTTTTTTTTTCGTACATAAGCATGTCACAAGACAAAGAAATATTATATTCACTTTTGTGAGGGCAAACCTGGAATTATTTTATGGGTGAAGTTTAACAGTAAAACCAAGTCACATTTCCTAATCAAACTGTTCTTTAATAAAGTGGCTCTTTTATTTAATTGCAGTATTTAAATGCTACTTGTGGCACTTTGGCCCAGAGGCAATTTCTCTGTCATTGGTGTGAAACCCTAGGGTTCACCTCCTGGGCAAGATTGAATCCCGGTTAGGGAGGTTGGTACCTTCCAGTGGACTCGCCACCCGCAGGAAGGTTCAGGGGTTGGTACGGTGCAGTGTGATTTGGGTGGTGGTCGTGGAGACTGCTGCCCCCATGGCCCGGTAATGGATAAATGGACAAAAATGGATGGATGGATGGATGCAATTCTGTCCATTTAAGTACATTGTGAGCAAGCACTGAATATTTTTCAAAGACGGACTTTTATTATTTCCCTATTGTGAGAAACAATTTGTAATGACACGGAATTTCAAATAATGTCCTCTAATCAAAGAATTTGACACTCCATGGGCAGCAAACCAAAAAGCTTTAAAGTACTGTTAAGCGTAGAGTAAGTACAGTGACGAGAGTGGACTGAGATTGGTGTGTCACACCCAAGGTCATTTTGGCAGGATGTTGTCATCACCGTCGTTATAATTCCTACCATGCCATTTTAATTGTTAACAATAAAACTTAATTTACTGTTCAGCACATATAAACGTCCTGAGTGCTGTGTCCTATAATCTGCCTGTGGGCCTCTGTCACGAATGTTCTTCTCCACTCTATGCAAATATGTACAGTGTGTATTTTTCAAAAACCAGCAATGGAATCGTGACAGAAAGTGATTATGTTATTACATATACGTAGGTGAGTATATGTAAATGTGAATGTGAACTACACGTAATGCGACCTCTGCGTTTTACTAGAGATGTCCGATAATATCGGCCGAACAATTTTATTTATTTTATTATTGGCATAATTATATAATATATGCAAGAAACATTATTGGATTTTCCTCCGATAATGAAAACTCAATAACGCAATGCCTGGGTTTCGCCAAATGATGTGTGCTCTTAAAAATAGTTTGGGGGGGAAAAACGGCTGTATATGAAAGTGAAAGCCACTAGATGGCAGCATGGCAGCTCATTTTATTATTCTATTTTGATAATCAGGGGATTGTAGAGATAAATAAATAAATATTGCCCTGCCTATAACGGTGTTGTTTGATATCGAAATTGGATTTCCAAAGGGTATCAAGATTCGAGATTCTAAGTCTCATGTAACTGTTTGTCCGGTCGTATTTTCTCCAGGTTGCCTATTTATTAATAATTATATCAACAAAATTGAGAAGTACGCTTGTGGTAAATCAGTATTTTTTAAAATGTATTATTTATTTATTACATATATATTGGAGATAAGAACAATGTTTGCAGAATTTTACTGGATTTTTCACTAGAGGTCAGTGAATCTTTTCTCCAGTGACCTAACTATTGCAGACCTGTCACTTTTTTTTTTTTTTTTTTTTTACTTCTGTTTTTATTTTACCTTTATTTAACCACGGCGTTCCGCTGTGATCAGAAGTTTCTTTGTGTGGATGGTGACAATCCCTGACACAGTATGAAGAACCTGCATGTCAGTGTTTATAAATGGTCGCTGATGCCCAGCCGACTGAACAACACAGTGTTGTTGTGAATGACAGGTGCTGCGTTCCAAAAGAAACGGAGCAGCTTGTTACTCCGAATGGAGGCTCGTTAAAGTGGAGGCGAAAAGTACTTCAGCGCAGCACGCACACAGTACAGTACAAATATGATTTATATAATAAAATTAAGTGACTGATATGGCTGCCATCTTGTTAATGAGACCCATTTATATTTTTTTTGGGGGGGGGTCAGGTGGTGGTCAGTAAATAAACAGAGGATACCTATGTGTATCTAGATTTATCTTCATTTGGATGTGAAACTTTTGCAAACACGTCAGTAGACTTCGTGAAAGCTGTGTTTTGTTTTGTTTTCTGTCTTTACTTTTTACCTAATCATACATTTTTCGTATATGTCATTTTTTTTCAAAGTAGAATGTGAGAAGGTAGCGTTATTTCTAGGTGTACTTGACATTTTCTTAGTTACGTTGGGTGTTTTTGTGAGAGTGTCTGTGTAGGTTGTTAGTCATCCAGGTCATCTTATCCAACAATAGTTACGTCGAGGGCAACTGGACAGAGTAGGTTTCTTGAAGGTGCTGACTACTGGGAAATTCTGGTATTTAGCCTTCGGGGGCTACATACGTGTAATGAGAGTTGTTGCAGAAAGGGAGGATGGAGGTGTGGTGGAACCCACTCTATTCTAAGGAATGTAAAGTCACAAGGTTAGAGGTGTGAATGGGGAGTGATATCTTAGCTCTGGATTAATCGTTTCACCTGAGCGACACTTTTGGCTGGGTGTCCTTTGAAATGAATCTGTGGTCTTGTTGTCAGGGACGGGGTTTAGTTTTTGGGGGAGAGAACTCAGGACGACATTAAAGGTGGATGAAAGGTTGTGTCTCCAACCACCTCCGCTATTGAGAGATGGTTTCTCCAGGTTAACGTAGATGGCTTCCTTCGCCCTAGGAGGGAACAGACGGGCATTGTTACCCTACATGCACCCTGCAGGTTAACGTAGATGGCTTCCTTCACCCTAGGAGGGAACAGACGGGCACCCTGTGCTTTTTACTTTGATTCATAAAGTCTGATTTTTTTCTTTTCTTCCTTTTTCCTTTTCTTTAATGTACTACAGGCTTCCTGAGCACCGGGGACCAATCTGCAAAGGGGAACTATGGTCTGCTGGACCAGATCCAAGCCCTGCGCTGGCTAAATGAAAACATCGGCTACTTTGGAGGAGATCCGGAGAGAATCACCATCTTTGGCTCCGGGGCCGGTGCGGCCTGTGTGAACCTTCTCATTCTCTCCCACCACTCTGAGGGTAAGGCTCCTTCGCATTTCAGTCCGTCAGTTCGCCGGTCATTTACTGTGCTCGGAGAGGATTATCAGGTTGAGGACACTGTGGGCGGCATATTTTATTAAAGAGCAGGTCAGGTGAAAAATACCGATGAGCAGATAAAGCTTTGTACCGAAGGATTCAAGAACACGTTATATACAGTACATGGTAATAACTTAAGTTTATATATTCTACATATTTTTCCTTTTTTTTTTTTTTTTATATAAGCCTACTAATAAAGGTACAATGGCTTGCATTAATTTATTTGTAAGGCATTTTCCACGAGGCTTCCCAACAAGGTTGGTGGTTCTCAGGATGAGTTCATCGGCTGCTGTTTAAAAGGAAAACAACAGTTGTTTATTTAACAATCACAGTGGTCAAATATTCACAGAAACCCTGGCAGTGATATTTGCTGAGTGGTTTGTTTGCGCTCCAAACACCATTGCTTCAATATTTTCAAACACATCAACAAGAATTTTGTTTAACTCCATTAAAGTTACAGTTACGGTGGGTATGCAGATGGTAACATTGTTTAGATAGATAGATGGATGGATGGATGGATGAATGGATGGAGGGAGGGATGGATGGATGGATGGATGATGATAGATGGATGGATGGATGAATGATAGATAAATGGATGGATGGATTGATTGATAGATAGATGGATGGATGGGTGGATGATAGATAGATAGATAGACAGACAGACAGACAGACCGACAGATAGACAGATAGATAGATAGATAGATAGATAGATAGATAGATAGATAGATAGATAGATAGATAGATACTTTATTAATCCCTCGAGAGTTCCTTTTGGGAAATTTAGGAAATGATATAATATAGTATATAGTACAAAGGTACCGTGTGTAGAAAACGGCTGAAAACATCAGGGCATGGAGCTGTAGCTGCAGCTAATTTAGCATCAGCATTTAACATAGAAAGGGCTTAATTATTAACGACAGTATCTGCTGATGAAACAGTGGGACAGCCAGCAACTTTACAAAACAGTGAAGCGGCATAATATTGGGAGCCTTTTTTTTATTTCTTTACCTATTTATATTGTTTTCTTTCTTTCAAGCACAGCCCACCACTCTCCGTGTAGTTATCAGCGCTTGTCTTGCAGAAACGTACTGTTGTTTGGATGAAGTTAATGCGTCTGTGACAATGTTCAGGAAGATTTTCGGCAGCTAAGAGAAGCAGCGGGGCGTCACAGTGTTTTGTCTTCACAGGATGACACTACATTTGCTTCTCTCTTTTATTCTTTTGCATTATTGATACCCTTATCAGCTGCTAGCGTGTCATGGAAAAGAAAGCAGCTGAAAAGGAAAAGTGTCATGGAAAAGAAAGCAGCTGAAAAGAAAAAGCTTTTTTGTTTTTTTGTTTTTGGTTGTTAAACTACGTGTTTTGTATACAGGACTTTTCCAGAGGGCTATCGCTCAGAGCGGCTCAGCTATCTCCAGCTGGTCGGTCAACTACAGACCACTGATGTACACAAAGATCCTGGCCAGAAAGGTGGGCTGCACCCTAAACGACATGGCTGAGTTGGTAGACTGTCTGCGGAGAAAGAGTTTTCGGGAGCTGGTAGACCAAGACATCCAGCCTGCACGCTACCACATTGCCTTTGGGCCTGTTGTGGATGGGGACGTGGTGCCAGATGACCCAGAGATCCTCATGCAACAGGTGAGAGCTGCTTTCAATCCGAAGTTATCCTTTCATTATATCTGAGCCACGTGAGAGGCATCTTTAATTTTTTATTATTTTTTTTAGTTTGACCAAAACGGCCATTGTCAGACCCAGGTTGTGAACAACTCATTTGCTGGACTGTGGTCTCCTAAAATTCACGTACCTTTGGGTTTTAGGATATTTAAAGACTTCTGTTCTCTCTTAGTTTCCATTGTAGGATCTGAACGGACTGTTTAGTTAGAGATTAAAAACCAAAAAAAAAAAGGCACTTTACCCTGGCAAGGCTGAATACAGAAGAGACGGTTTTCTAGGTCAGGATTTAGTCTACCTTCAGGAAAAAGGAATGTTCTTTGTTGAAAAGGTGTATATTTTTGGGCCGATAAAATAGGTGTTTTGAAAGAGGACTGTAGGCTGTCAGCTGTTTCAAGTTGGAAAAACCTCTTAAATGCAAATCCTAGATCCCTACCGACCTCCAAAACTAATGTTGCTGTCCTTGTTTTCTTTCCAGGACACTGCTCAAACTTTCAGGTTAGCCTCACGTTAAATCATTGAAGTCACGTGACAAAAACAGAGGTGTCGTGTGACTTTAAGAAACGTCAGCGCTCCAGAGCTGTCGGTGGTAATTACAGTTAGACAAATTACTGGCAATGCCCACAAAGTGCTAGACATCACCATTTACTATCAGATCTGACAAGGCCTGGTGTCAAACATACGGCCCCGGGGACCTAAACTGACCCCCTACGCACTGCAATCCAGCCCACTAAATACACAACAGGAAGACCCGGCAATCAGACAAGGCTGGAGCTCAGACATGGTTCGTGGATCGGAATTCTTTGAAGGTTGGATCGGATCGGTAGCTTACCTTCTTTGTTTAAACATATGCTTAGGTGACCCTCACCCTAAACCTAACCCCAAGAGTCCAATCCGACCCACTAAGCCATGCACTCCAGCCAGCAACGTGATTCTAAAATTGTGATGATCAACGAGAAATGACTAATATGATGTATATTCATTTAGAAAAAAAATAAAATAAAATATATATATATATATGAGTGTCCGGCCGACAAAGGTGTCTGTCTAGAAAAATTCTGCAATATATAGTTGGTGGGCCCTGATGTAGAAGTAACTACTGGTTTATAAGCTCTTCTGGACTGTATAAACCAAGCTGTCTTCAATTTTTGTTTTTGTCAATTTTACCATATTGAAGTATCACGGTAAATGCACAATTCTTTGAGAGTGGGTGTCGTAGCATAGGTATTCATTTCCCCTTTTGTAAAATTCTCCTGATCAGCGCAGTCTTAGCCAGGGACTGCAGCATTCTGTGGTGACACGTTATGTTGTGTGTGTGTGGTTCTTTGCATCAGGGTGAATTCCTCAACTATGACATATTGCTGGGTGTTAATCAAGGCGAAGGTCTGAAGTTTGTGGATGACAGTGAGGGCGAAGACGGCATATCGGCAGCATCATTTGACTACACCATCTCCAACTTTGTCGACAATCTGTACGGATACCCTGATGGTGAGTTCTCCCTTCTGTTCTCTGGAAACTAGTCAGAAGTTCAAAGCTGGTACAGAACCCTTTTTGTGCTTTCAAATCATTATCAGGCCAAATTAATATTTACTCATTTACAATTGTAAATGTTTTTTCAAAGCTGGTACAGAACCCTTTTTGTACTTTCAAATCATTATCACGCCAAGGTAATATCTACTAATTTACAATTGTAAATGTCCCGTGTTTGTTGTTTAAATTTCTCTTGTAAATTTAAATTATATGCAGATTTTTCTTTTCCTAAAATTTGTTGTAAAATTGCAGTTGTGAACAAAGAATCAGTTTACTTCTATAACTTTACTACTATAATGTGTTATGTATTATAGTCAAGTGGGCTGGACCAGTAACATCATAACATATAACTATAAATGAGTCCACGTTTTCCCGCTTTGATTCCATGCGAACAAGTACCAGTAAATTAGATATTTATTATCATTAGGTATTCACATTTAATGAAATATAATTACGCGAACAATATCCTAAGCATGAAGTGTTTGCGGTGGTTTTTACTTTCAAAATGTATCAAGCGGTCCGGTTTTGACCCGCGGGCCTTATGTTTGACACCACTCTATTATATCCCCCCCCTTTTACTTTAGTCAAACTTTACTTACATAAAGAGGCCTTTATAGGTTTACTGCCGTAGGTTGACAAGCTAACAAGCTACGCTGTTGTCATTTTGCATTTCATGTGTTTTATATTAAACAGATCATTGGCGCCTTCTGATTTTATCAACAAAGTCATGTTGTGTTATATAAATAGCAACCGCAGTAAAAATCATTTCTGTGCTCTGACAAAATTAATAAAGTCGATGCACTACAGCTAAGACATAATGTGACATAAAGGCAGGAAGTACTAAAGGTTCTTGCAATACACCGACCACCTCGGCTCCCGAAATAATTTTGCTGACGATGACATTCTCGACGTGCAGTGTTTACTCACACTCCTTTTCACATTCTCTGCAGGTAAAGATATCCTGAGGGAAACCATTAAATTTATGTACACTGACTGGGCTGACAGGGACAACAGTGACATGCGTAGGAAGACCCTACTGGCTCTCTTTACAGACCATCAGTGGGTAGCCCCAGCTGTCGCCACCGCGAAGCTGCACGCTGAGTTTCAGTCGCCTGTGTACTTTTATACCTTCCACCACCACTGTCAGACCGAGGCGAGGCCCGACTGGGCCGATGCAGCCCATGGAGACGAGATCCCCTATGTGTTTGGGATTCCCATGGTTGGAGCTACTGACCTATTTCCCTGTAACTTCTCAAAGAACGATGTTATGCTCAGTGCTGTTGTAATGACATATTGGACTAACTTTGCCAAAACGGGGTAAGTCAGGCGTCTCATTTTTCCTAGGTGCTCCCTCTAGTGTGGATTTATCGTGTCAGATATCAATCAGATATGCTGCTGGTTTTGGTCAAACAGGTCATCACTGTTATTTTTTCACAGGGATCCGAACCTGCCTGTTCCTCAGGACACAACCTTCATCCACACCAAGCCAAACCGCTTTGAAGAGGTCATTTGGACAAAGTTCAGCTCCAAAGACAAGCATTATTTGCATATTGGCCTGAAGCCTCGTGTCAGAGACAACTACAGGGCCAACAAGGTGGCCTTCTGGCTGGAGCTGGTGCCACATCTTCACAGCCTCCATGAGGAAATCATTGGTTCGATCACCACGCGATTGCCACCCAGAGGCACCAAACACAACAAAGACCATCAAAGGCCCGACACCCGCTCCACACGGCACCCCATAACCTCCACCTACCCCCCAGATCCAGACCCCGACAGCTCCGAGAGACCCCGCTACCCTCCCTTCCCCATGGAGACTAGGGACTATTCCACGGAGCTGAGCGTGACGGTAGCCGTGGGCGCCTCGCTTCTTTTCCTTAACGTTCTGGCGTTCGCTGCGCTTTATTACAAACGGGACAAGCGACACGAACTCATGCAGAGACGCCACCGCCGACTCTCGCCGCAGCGGGGCACCACGTTGGGCATGGGCGTTGGCATGGGAGTGGTGGGCGCGCCGCCGCACAACGACCTGGCTCTGAGCCAAGAGGAGGAGCTCATGTCGCTGCAGATGAAGCAGCAGAGGGTGGAGTTGGAGCACGGCACGCCGCTGCCCTCCCGCGGAATCCACGGCGACCTGGAGCCCCTGCGACCTCCGGTCTGCCCGCCCGACTACACGCTGGCCCTGCGGCGAGCACCGGAGGACGTGCCACTGATGACGGCCAACACCATTACCATGATCCCAAGCACCATCAGCAGCATGCAGACCCTCCACCCCTTCAACACGTACCCCCCTGTACCTGCCCCCACAACTACGCCCGTCCCCAGCCACAGCAACAATGCCCTGCCACACCAACACTCAACCACCCGTGTATAGGAGCAGACATCCCCTCTGCTAACACACTCTGGGCTCCTAGCAACACATCACACAAACTGTTACATGCATTACTTTCACCACCATTTCCTTAAATATAATCTTTGGCTGTCTTTAACATAAAGCCTTCATTAAAGCTGCAGTTTGTAAGGAACTGAATAAGAAAAAAAAATACCTTTAAAAAGTAACAATAATAAATAGGATAATTCAAACCCGATCATTGTACATACGCATTGTTTTCCCCCAGTCGACTCTTCTTTAGTCTCTGGTGTATGGGGTAAGGCACCAAAAACGCACAGCTTTAAAGCATGTCGATCTCGAAAAGCAGGTTCTGTTGAACTCACCACAGTTGTTTTTCCCCTGGCATGGATTAAGAAAAAAAACTAAGTTTAACATGAAATGCAAATACATTCAGTCATTGTTAATTGAGTGAAGAGATATTACAGTAGCAGGCGTCTCCGTTTGAGGCAGCGTACGCTCCAACGAGCTGTCTTTCATAAAGCATTGGTTTCTTGAAACTTACAAATTGCAGCTTTAAAACCCCAATCTGGAAATGAAGCTGGGTAACAAATGATGGCACAACACAAAGTGTCTTCTTTTTTTTAGGCATTTTTCCACATAACGAGATACGTTCTCTAAGCTAAAAGAACAGGAATAAATATGATGACGCGCGGCCCATTTGATGAGCGATTGAAAGGCGTAGTTGAGCAAACGTTGTTGGAAGAAATACAAGTGGGAGTGCGGAGCACACAGACGGACGCATTCACTGGATATAATAATCGGACACACCTTTAAATTCTTGTCTGAATGCACTGAAAGCAGAAAGCAGAAAGCAAGCGTGAAGCTGAGCAAATAGAACAGATTGCAAGCTGTCCAGAGGACGGATAAATGAGGACGTCTTGTTTGTCAAACCAACCTTTTCATTGCAGCGTCTACACAATCTGGTACCGCACTGTATAAATTGATTATTTATTTTTTAAAAGAGGCAAATCTGTTTGTGTGTGAAAGCGGGATGGACACTGGACAAATACGCACGGTGAGAACAAAAAAAAGAGATAAAAAAAAAAAGAAATTGACATTTTACAATTTTCCTACCGTTTCCTAACTGCAAATCAAACGATAAATTTGAATACATATATACATATATGCACAAATATAAACATATATATTAGGGATTTCTGATAATAAAATATCCACCACGATAGAATAATTATGTATAAATATCGGCAGGAGTTCTTATCTGTTTTTTTCCGCCGATAATGAAAACCCGATAACGCAATGCCTGGGTTTCGCACAGATGATGTGACCTAAAAATAGTTTTGAAGTGAAAGTGAAAGTGAAATATTGCCATTGTGACACAGCACAGCTGCATATATCCGTATGGAATGATGTCAGAATCGGAAATTAAGTGTTTGGACAGTATAGGCATATTGGCTCTCGGTCTTTTTTATATATTTCCTATCAGACATATATCAATATATATATGTGTTTGTGTATCTATATATGTACGTCTAAATATATATATATTTATACATATATGTATATTTCTATAAATATATGTATAAATATGTATATAAATACATATATATTTATACATATATGTATAAATATATGTCTATGTATTTATATAAATATATGTATATATATATGTATGTATGTATATATACATATATTTTTAGTATTTCTTCCCAATACCAATTATGACAAAAACTTCCAGATTGGGGTTTTAATGAGTGGTGAAGAAAATAAGTAACTCACAATCTGCTGGATGAATACATCCTGAAATCCAGTCTATACATTAAGACTTTCTGCTTTTCCACTACACGTGCTCCAATCATATCTATTACTTATTTGCGTCATTCTCTTCATCTCTCACTGTATCACCTGGTTTTTTTTTTTCCTTTGAATTCCTCTACATCTCTCTTGTCCACCCTTGTGTTTTCACAAGTAGGTCTTTTTATTCCTACCATCCACACAATCCGTTTCCACCTGAGCTTCTCTCTTCCGCCTCACAATCACTTCTAGACTCTCTCTTTTCGTTTCGGCGTCTTTTATACAAAACACAAATGTAAATTATGTAATATTTATAAATTGTAAGGATATAAATGAAAAAAAAAAAGATATTCTGATATCTCATTTTTACCAGCATTTCGGTGCCAAGTACTGTGATACAGTTCCTCTTTTGCTGGCGTCTAGTTGACTGCCTTAAGAGGTCCGTCCTGACTTTATCTTACAAAAGTAATTACGATCATAAAAGTGCCAACCCCTTTATTGTTCTATTTGTTTAACCCGCTTTTCTTTAAATACATTTGATGTTGCACTGTGGCTGGGGTCCCTTCTGGAAGAGGGGAAATCAGAACTTATCCAATCAATTATTCCTCTTTAAACATGACGAAGAAGTTATTTTTCCGCTCTATTTCTTTCTCAGCTATTTGCATGTTTTTGTTTTTGTTTTTTTCCCCCCTAAAATGTGTTTTCTGTTTGGATAGTTTGCCTTGATATTATGTCAATTATATTTTTCAGAATAATTTTAATTTTTTATATTTGCTCCTTGTGGCACTTGAAAATGTATTTAAGTATAAAGAGATTATTATTACAATTATGTAAATCTAAGATTATAACAGAGAGTATTAAATTTCCCCCCCTTCCCCTCCCCCTCCTCATTTCCTGTGACTAAGGCTGTGCTGCAAATCTATGAGAGAACTATCAAGAGCCTTCTTTAACTCCCTTTTTTTTTTTCCTCCCGTTACTCGGTCAACTTTGCACAGTCACCGTCTCCCAGCCTCACCTGAAGATAGCACTTTTATAAGTTGAGGAGAAACAAAAAAAAAAAACACAAAATAAAAAAAACGTTACATGCATAGTCTATGTAAGGTTTTTGTCCTTTGCTGACATCAACCATATGCTTTAGTATTTGAAGACTGCCTGACATGTATCTTTCTGTCTGCTCTTTTGTTTTCTTATGGTCCTTCCCTCCGTAGGTGAGCGATAGGGAGAGATATAACTATATATTTATGACTGCCAAAAGGTGAGGAAAGCCTTGTACGCGCATTTCACATCTTTTGCACAACTAAACACAGAGATGGGTTGCACGCTGGACTATTCTGACCTTCGGACTGCAATGGACCGGACGCCAGCCGTGATTCGACAAGGGACAGTGAGGTAACAGCTTTGTGGTCTGTGAGCGGATGATGCATTTAGTGAGAAAAAACGCACAGGACTGACACTGGTGCAACTTTTACCACTAAATGCAACGCAGGAAGTGCGCTTCACTCTTGTGAATAGTGCAGTTATACCCGTCCCGTCCCGTCCTCTAAGGATAACGTCCCTCATGGACCCAGACTGCCATCGCTCATGCTGGACTGGAGCAAAAACAGCAAAGCACGTCAAAAAAAAAAAAACAAACAAACAAAAAAACGAACTGTACATTTTTTAAAGTGTAAGAGGGGGGAAAGAAAAAATTTCAATTTGTAAATATTTTGTTTATTGTTTGGTTCGAGTGATTGGCTAGATATTTACTTTGTGACAACAGGTGCAAGTTTAGCTTATTTCCATGGTGAAAGCGCTCATCCGCATCTTTCTTTTCTGTATCTCAAGGGATAATTAACAAAAAAAAAGGCTTTGGACACATGTATATGTTAACATCCCTGAAAAAAACAAAAACAAAAACAAAAAAAAAAACGTTGGCGCAGAGCATGGTTGAGATAAACTTAGACACACACAAGATAAGTGCGGCCTACGGTTCAGGGCAGCCTTGATATGGTGGTGATTTGAAAATGCTCTCACCGCATAAATTGCTGTCTAATGCGTACCATAAACATCCAGCTCTAGCCCATCAATCACAAAGGAAGCTTTCAAAAGAATGAGTCCTTTATTGCTCGAAATGCCCAGGAACAGCTGCAGGGAACAGATGAAGGAAGGGGAAATGAGGACGATTTGTGAAAATGGGCAGAAGAACAAGAGCGGCCAGATGCGTCGAGCGTGCTCAAAGCCAACCACAAAAAGTTTTACTGTGATGCTGTTGATGTCTCGTATGTGTCTTACATTGTCTTGCCCTTGTCATTCAGTACAACTGCTATCTGGGACGTGTCAGAATCCCTCTTTGGTGTTATTTTAGACTGTAACAGTTAGGCATTTTTGCGAGCCCCACTGGAAGGATTATTGTTCTACAGACACTTGATGTGTACATTTTAATCGCCCCCCCGCCCCCTCCCCCCCAACAGACGCCAATAGGCAACGGAAGCACACACCGAGTTTACAAGTTTACACCTCAGTTTTTGTTGTTGGCTTGAAGTGGACAAAGATGGGCTTTTGAAATGAACCTCACAATAATCCAGTTCTTAATCACTGATCTCTAGAACGATAAAGTGAAGGCTTGCACCTGTCTGTCCGTTTCATTTAGTCTGATTTAGTAATCTGCTTGAAGCTTGAGATACTGTGTGAAAGCATAAGTGACCAGAAGGAGTTGAACAAAATAAAGTTAATATTTCTATTTCAAATAGGTCTTACTACACACTGTATGCTGTGTATCTGAACAGAAAAAACATTAAAATTCTTAAACTCGTTTTGGCACTTTTGTTTTTCGACGTTGTAACGCGATTGATCCTTACGTAAAGCCACGTCGAAGAACATCATCAGCAAAATAAACATGCTGCTGCTTAAAGTTTCCCACCGGTAACAGGAAGTAGGTTCCATCCAGTTATTTATAAAGTGATATAGGTATAGTGGTCTGACAATGACTACCGTCAGAAAGTCGCTCAGTAGTATAGGTTGCACCAGCCAGCTAGAGTGCCCTCTAGTGGCTGTCAGTGTCAATATAACAAACATGTAAATTTTCAGTGGTGCAGGAGTAGCAGATACTGGTACACAAGCCTAGAGTGCCCTCTAGTGGCTGTCATTGTGAAAATAAATATGTGATATTATATATTATACTATATATAATATATAAGTCACATCTGAGTATAAGTCGCAATCAGTCAAAGGATGAAAAGAAGTGGGACTTATAGTCTGGAAAATATGGTACTTTTAGACCAGTAAATGTAATGTAGATTATTCACATCTCTTTAAACTCTAAAATCTCTGGTGTGGAAAAAGCGGGTTTCTAGAAGTTAGCCCTGGTGGGTATTGCTTACAGTTAAGGGTTTCTAGAAGTTAGCCCTGGTGGGTTTTGCTTACAGTTAAGACCACATGAACCAAAACAAGGGCGTGATTGTACTTTATTTTGAGTAGAAAAAATGTAAAGCCAACAGCAGGCCCGCGGGCCTATCTTTGATATCTGTGATCTAATCAGACACAGCTGTTATAAAGACGGCGTTTAAATTGGCTGAAGTCCTGCTGGAAGGAATGACCTCTGCAAATACTGTATGTGTACTTCACAGTACCTTGTACAATCAGACTACAAAATCCAAATGTAACATTCGTGATCTTTTTTTTTCTCAGATTTGTCAGCTAAGTTCACTGTTTATTCTCAAATGTGTTTTCCCAGAGCAACGCAATGACTGACTTTCATTGGCTAAGAATGTTGGATTTCCATCATAAAGCCCTAAATAACTTGGCAGCGTCAGGCCTATTAGGGAAACTGTGCTCTGATCTGTGTTTGTTCAGCTGTAGTACACAATAAATCTGAATCACAGCAAATATACTAGGACACTGAGGATGTGGAGCTGCCGTACTAATATACAGTACACCCTCTGGTCTGATGCTGAGGCTGTTAAAAGTGTGAAGCATGTTAAGTAAAATAAAGAAATTCTTTTATTACTTTTTAAAATAATTTACAATTGAAATTAATTCTATTTGTGGGATTTGCAGTTCCCTTTGGCCTGACTGATTCGTAAAAACGATAATTAAGGAAACCTGTAGTACTCGGAGCAGTAACACTGAGTAGTACCTAGCAGTACCTACAGTATACTGTATGCATTTGATACAGCTTTGGATAACGCAATAAAAAGTATTTAACGGAAACATTACGAAATATCGCAGCAGACAAAATGCAGATCATTCGTACGACGTGTAAAAACCTCTTATGCTTGAAACACACTGCATTAATCAAGAGCGATCTTTGTTTTTTTGTTTTGGTTTTTTTTTGTTTTGGTTTTTTAATATTCAGCATCTTTATTGTGCTTTATAAGCTTAGTTGTTTGCATGGCAGGTGCGCAATGTAATGTCTTTGCATTTTTCTTTCTGTACATCCCAGGTACCTCCACAGATTCCATGTCGACATCATCACAGGTAGAAAAATGTCGTTCTGTTACCACTAGATGGCATTGTGCGACTATAATGTTCACATAATTCTACCAAACAAGTTTTTTCTAAGGTTCTGTACCTGTACTGCAAATTAGCGGAAGTGACGTATTTCCCTATAACAAAAGCAGCTAAAATGATAATTCTTCCGACAAATTACACATTATGTATGCTTTCGGACTTAAATGGAAAACGTTACAGGTGACATTAGAGTCTGCATAGTGGATTTTACTGAGCAAAATTTGAATATACAACCTTGTATATTGTAAACAAATTACGTCGTAATTTGAATTTACAGTTGTTGAACGGTCAAACCAATAGAGAGGGGAAAGGTATGTAAAAATGCCACTTGTAACGTGAAGTTATTTTTAATGACTTTTAGACGTGTATACTAAAGATTTTGCTTTAATAGGAGTTTAAAAAATCTTTATATTCATTTGTTTAAATTTAATAAATGAGATAAATTTGTATTTGGTCCAGGTCAGAAAACGGGCTGTTTACGGAATTTCAAAAGTTGGAAACCTCCAAATCCAAACATTTGTTTTTAACAATTTCTTCTTTAGCAAAGAGCAATTTGTTGTTTATATTATTATTATTATTATCCAAAGAGACTCGAAATGGCTTGTTTAATAATCCCTTAAGATAATTTGTACCGTTCTGAACATGTAATGAAAAGAAACAAAAAGGTGTTTGACAGATTTTTTTAATTTTATTTTTTCCAGCTAAATGCACAACAAATGAAGAGGCTCGCATCTGACCAGAGAGCATCTAAATGGTATGCTGCAAATACAGAGGAAGAGGTGAGGGAGAGATACAGTTGTCATAGAAGAGCTGCAAGTTTTGGTTAACGTCCATGTGATTTTTCAGGAAGTTCTCCAGCTCCATGACCGTCATTTCACTCACGCTGTTGCCTTCCTTGGCATTTTTCGCCAACGTATGTGAGTCTTGCGAGTGGCAATATTGCCACCTACTGGGTATATTTTTCACTACTACACGTTTTATCTCCAGGATATTGTGTATTTGCAGCAAACAACACAATAACGAGGCGGCATTGAAACCTTAATCGTGTTCAAAAGACCCCAAACATGTTAAGACCCAACACTCAGATATCTTAGTGCATACTTGGACTCAAGACGTTTTAAACTTGTATCACCATTTTTTTTTAAAAAATAAGTTTTTAATAACTTTGCATTTCGTGTCCCTTAGTACTATTCCTGAATAATAATTATGTACTATATATTGCTGCGATATTATTTTCATAAATTTCGGAAGGAGCATGGTAGCTGTGTGTTATAAAATTAAAGCGTTGCAAAATTAAACACAGCGCATGACATTTATGTGTATATTTTATATTAGAAGCGCTGAAAACGAACAGATGCCTTCTCTGCTTGTAAACTATGGGGTGGCTGTTTCTGTTCCTTAATCTTTCCACCAGGGGGAGCAATCTAGCGGACAGGACTGGTTTGTGAAATCCTATATAGTGGCTCTGCTCCACAGTCTCGTGATTGGTCAAAAACCCCACATGGTCTGGGTAGTAACCAATAATGTTTTAGATGATCGGGGCTGTTGCTAAGGCACGTCGGAGACTTTAAAAATCTCTTCTCAGTCTGCTTCGTCCATTTCTCTCGCAAACTCCCGGTGGCTCCTTATTAGCTGGGACTCTCTTGTTCACCTCTGACTGTGTATGTAGTCCACAACTCTGCCTGACTGGAAGAGTGAGTGGTTTTTTTTTTTATTTTAAGTCACAGAGAATAGCCCACCCTGTCCAAAGTGGAAAGGTCTGTAAAACCCCACCTCCACTGGTTATCCTGTCACTTGACATTTGAGCTCAGCCAACACCCACAGCTCGTCTGTCACCAGTTTTACGAAGATTATTTCCTAGTTCAACCGTTAGGATTAACTGGTGTGTCGGACTCCATTAGGTCCACTGAGGCGATAACGACTCTGAAACCCTGGTGTCTAAAATATAATTACAACTCGAATTCGTTCTGTTGTGGAGGCATTTAAATAAAATACTGCACTGGCAGTTACACACACGGGCAGACGCTAATGTGGAGAAGAAGAAAAAACCAAAAAGCAGAAATGTCTGCTATTTCTCACTACTCCTTCCTTCACCGCAATTGTCAGAGACTAGCCATTTTCGCCCTCTCATTGGCTCACGCCTTGTGATTGGCAGTTTTTTCCGCCCGCCCCCAATGGTAACCGCACATGGATCAGCCTGCTTTGGGAGCTCGAGCATCAGAGAGTGTAGTGTGGAAAGGGAAGAGGAAGAGAAGGAGAGGGGAAGAAAGGAGAGGATCGGGTGAGGAGTGAAAGGGAGGAAAAGGGGAGCGAGGGGAAAGGCTAAGTGAAGACAAAAACAAGAGGTAAGAGAGAAGCGTGTGGGGACAAACAGATCTGGTTTTTGGCATGTGGATGCATGGGAAATATACTGCATACAATGTATAGTTTTTAAACATTGCGGAGGTGTGCGAGAGTTTATGGATCTCCGTTGTTTTCCGCTGGGTTTGTGTGCATTTTTGTGATTTTTATGCGTGTGTGTTTTCACTGTCAACATATTTAATGAGAAGAACATGCTGCATTGTGTGCCTGCAGACAGTGATCCATGCATGACACCAGTGCACGCACGCACACGCGCGCGCGCACACACATAGTGGAACTACCTGCACATGTATGGTATACTGTAGCATACAGTTTCAACAAAGCCTTACTGTCTGTGTGTGTGTGTGTGGTCGAGTACTCACGTGCATTTTGATGCAGGGTCTGTGGACCCTTAGTGGAAACAGTGTGGTGATCAATCAAGGTTTACAAGAGTCTAAACTGTTACTGATGAAGCTATTTAACTCCAGCCCAGTTTGCAGAACACATACCAGTTGCAGGAGGAAAAGACATTTTTCAGTGTGTTGTGACTTTTTTCCCACTCCTTTTCCCTATACTGTACAGTACAGTAAAGTGCACAAGCTTTTTGTTGTTAAGTTTTGTCACACTAAAACAAGTTACACCTTGTTTTTCTGTTGAAATAATTTGAGAAATATTGCATGAACTCAACGCACGACAAACGGGAAAATGCAAACATATGTAGACAGTGCGCTTTTCGAGCCATTGTTCTAAAGGGGAAAAAAAAAAAGTGGCAAATTTTTTGTTTGCAAATGGCACCCCTGTTTCTTGTTCATGACCTTGCCTTGGTACATTCCAGCACTCTCTCAGAGGGCTAAGCTTTATGGAGCATATACCACAGAAAGCTGCTGTGACAGAGAGGAAGACAGGGATAGAGCAGAGGGGCTGGGGCTGTGGGGATGTTATTTTTAGAAATTAGATTGAAATTCAGCGCGTACTGTACTTTCCCCCTTTGTAGTAGTATCTCTATTTCAAGCCTGCGTGCACTAAATATCCACATGTGCATGCATCCAGGATGGCCCTTTTGAGTGAGGTGACTGCCTCTGTCCGTCTGCTCGAGCTTCCCCTCTGTCTGTTCTCGACATGGTTCTGCCCCTTCTGCTAGGTAGCTTAGGAATAACCAGGAACAGGTCTGGTCTGGTTCAGCCCATCTTTCCTTTAATGGTATAGGAGGCTGGATACAACGGAGATTCTACATTAAACACACTCACACACAAGTATGCGAACGCAGCGCAAGAAAGGCTGCCCTGCGGTGGTTAGCTGCAGCTGGAAAGCAGCTCCAGATGCTATTGAATGTGGCATCTGTCCCTTTGTCAGTGTGATAACAAAATATAAAATATGTATTAAAATACATTTTATGAGTAAGAAGGCTAAAATTGTGCAGAATAGAGAGTAGAACACGAGAGTAGAAGCCATGGACGAACTCCTTCATCTATCTATCTGTCTGTCTATCTATTTATCTATCCATCCTTCCTCCTCCCCTCCCCTTTTCTGCCTTTCGCCGGCTCACGTACACACGGAAATACTCCCCTCCTTGCTGGAGGCCTTGCTCTCAGCTCTGGTCTAAATGATATCATCGGTTACCAGGGATACAGGAACACAGTGTACAGAGAAAAGGGAGGGTGAACCAGAGCCCTGGATGTAGCCTAGACAGAAAATAAGGATAATTTGGTTTAAAAAAAAAAAGTTGTCATACAACAAATGTAGCAGATTCTGGGGGAGGCAAAAAAAAAAAAAACAAAGCTACTGTCTAATGTCCTTGTTTGTTGTCTCTTTCCATCTGTTGGACATCTTGTTACACTCTTTGTCTGGAGAGGCTTAGGTTTGCAACAGTACAGATGCATGTGACAGCTTGTCTTTAAGAAAACAGATCATGAGAGTGTAGAGAGGTAGAGATATATACGGTCGTTGTTGTGCTAATAGAAAGCCCCACTGTCTTTTGAAATCTCCACTTCAGTCTTTCCCTTTACTGTCTACTGTATGTGCCTATGTTTTTTTTTTTCTCTTGTGTGTTTGCCACAGAGCAGAAGATGAATGTGTCTGGTTAATGGGATCTGATGCACAACTCTTTCTACTGCGGACTGAAATCATCCAATTTGGAAGCCGGAGCGTTTTTCCCTATTTCCCCCCAGCTCTTATTCCAAGGTAAGACTTAGTGTAGTGATGGACTGACATACCCAAAAAGGTTTTTTTTGTTCCTGACTCCAAACGGAGTGTCACCACTACAATATTATTTTCCTAAAAAGAGTCCCCGCATTTATGCCCTTGGCAACCACACAACGTGGCAAGGCAGTTAGTCTGCCTTAGGAGCCCCTAACCCCCGGCCCGGGGACTGGTGTCAGTCCATAGTTTATTTGGTAGCAGGCCGCAGTGGGACACAGTGAAAAAATGTACTTCAGTTTTACTAATTTACGTCATTCAACAAGAATCCAGTCATGTCCGTTTACTTTTTTCATTAGAAGATAATCTGGCAATGTGTTAAAACAACAGGTCATGATCCTTAAACGATGCTATTGTATTACCAATCAGCAGTAACGGCTGATACCAGCCGACCAATCCATGGGGACCTCTGGTCTGGATAACATACCTAGAGGTATGGAAATGTCTAAAAGAAGGGACTTTTTTTTTTGTTAAAATAAATGATCCTATAGGCTTGTCATGGCGTCTGACAAATTGAGTGTATAGGTAGCTAATTGTTAGTACTGTACAGCTGCAATAACAGCAGTGGTATGAGGTCCATCAGTCACACGGTGAAGGGTGTGTAAAGGAGGGGTTGAAGTGAGGTTAAGGACTACAGCGGAATACAGGTGAAAACGTGAGGGTGAATGAAAGGATAGGATTAAGAGGTCCCTGAGACGGTAATGAGACCATCAGTGATGTATGGTTTGCAGACAATGGTCCTGTATAAGCAAAAGTCAGGACCTGAGCGTGCAAAGTTGAAATTGAATAGAGGTAGATGTAAAAAGAGGGGGACCTCAGAGAAGATGGGAAAAGTGAGGTAGGACACAGAGATGGTTGGTGTAACAGTCAGGTGAAGGTATATATATACAGCTGTTTTCCACTCTTTGACTTATTTCTATAATAGGGCTTCCACAGCACAGTTTAAGTTGAAACAAAAACAAGGGATGAGAACAAAAGAAACTGACTGCACGTGTATTACCAGACCCTGCTGGATTCCAGATGTCTCCCATCATTTCCACATTGAGTCGCCCGTTGACTGACTGAGAGGGTTTAAATAGGAAGATCTATCGTTTCCTCATGCGTCCGATAACTCACTACAGAAGATTTTTGCAGCAACTGTATACATTGCTTATACAGACGATGACATTTATGATGTGTGAGGAAGTGTTTTTGAACACACAAATCGAAACAAATGCGCTCATTAGAAACAGGGTTACTCCCTTTGTCACCACTGGGTGGCCACTGGCAGGCTGAAACTGCTGAAACTACTAACTGATTGGTGCGAGGACGCAGCACATATGTTAGCTTCTTCATATAATTTCTCACACAGACATGTGAGACACTCTCTCAATCGTGTGTCTTGTCCACAGGGTACATTTGATCTCTGGTGTGAAGTGGAGGCCTCCCAAACACAGACCAAGTCTGGTAACTACATGTTTTTTTTTTCTCCTTGGTAACAGTGAAACAGAGAAAACAAAGGTGCACGGTGTACGCAAGTCTAGACAGAGTTTTTTTCAAATAAATGATAGACCAATTACAGCCATCTTTAAATTGCAGAAACAATAATAATTCAAGAGGTTCCAAAGTGTAATTACACTTGAATGTTTGCCTTAATTAAATGGACTCTGGCTGTTGTTTGCTAGCTTATTTAAACCTTTGCACCAATTTATACTTTGGTGCACAACAAGCAAGCCAACCAGTAGCACTTGTTTATATATTTATATATAATTTATTTAACATCTAAACACTGGATGAAGTAAAGACGTGAACTGCAAACATCCAGTAAATAGCGGTTATACTAGCAAAACAAGCACATGGCCAATGAGGAGCCCGTCGGAGTATTCGGCAAGTGAATGACTGCATTTAACAGCATCGCTCAGATAGTCATTAGATCACACGCAGACACGACATCATCATTCCTTCATGGATTCATCATCGACCACTTAACAGTCACAGAAAGGGCTGGAGTGGATGACATTAAATGTTAGGCAAAACAGACTCTGGAGAGGTCATCTATTCACATGCGAGGAGGCTGTGTAACCTTCAAACCACTGACCTTCTTGGGTTTATAGGACAGTGCCAATCACTGCACCACTGTGTGGCACACATAACAATTCACTCATTCAAATTCTATTTATTTAACTATTAAGTTGGAGCGGGCACCAAAATCCTTATTTTTGTTATTTTTTCACTTTATGTTAATCAGCACTCTTGACTTTAGTAGGCACATCACCAGTTTAGTCCTCAGCTCCGAATTTGTATTGGCTGAAGTTTGCGTTTTCTCTTACTAGTGTGTGGGTTTTCTCTGCTACGGTGATTTTCTCCGACATTCGAAAAGCATGCAATTTGTTATATAGAGTTATTGCCTCAGAATCTGCCTAACACCTGCGAGGATTGCCTCTGAACAGGATTAGGTGGCAGAGAATGGTTGCAATTTAGTCTCTGGATTGATAATAACTTTTAGTTACAAAAATGTGATCTCAAAACTACAATAAAAAATGTTCTAATCCATATACTACTATAAATATCACACACGTTTTACATTACATTGCATTCTGGGTAATGACATAAAATGGTTGCTGTGGCCTCAGCAGCGTCAACGGGTACATTGGATTTATGTCTTCAATATCTGTTAGCAACATCATTCTAATGTAGATTAAAGCAGGGGTGCCCAAGAAGTAGTTTAGGATCTATAATTCTAGTAGATCGCAAGGGGAGTGCTGTTAGATCATGGGCAATAAAAACAGAAAAATAAAAATAAAATATGAGTGGAATTCTGAAAACAGTTAGCCGCCTTATTACTAGCTAAATGTTAGCCCACCAATCAACAGGTACCGGTAATAAATAACAAAACATTTTATTTAAAAGCGCAGTTCAAAACACATACAAAACAAGGACACTGTACAAAAAAACATAAGGACATAAATTATAATAATAATAATTTAATTTATTAAACCAGTGGTTTTCAAGGTACGCGAGCGCTCTCTAGTGGTACGTGGGGAAAATTCATATTTTCACATTTACATTTTTAATTGAATAAATCTGAAATATACCATGGACAATTAATACAACATTTAGAAAAAAATGTGTAGCTACTTGTGAGATTATGAAATAGGAAGCAAAAAGGGAAGGCCTACGCTGCTATATTCTAATGATGGTCATCATGGTGGTACTCAGAGAGCTCCATGTTTTCTCAGGTGGTACAGAGTATAAAAAGTTTGAGAACCACTATATTAGACGATAAATAAAATAATAAAATAAAAACCAAAATGAAAGCACTAAAATTAGGAAGAATTTGTCAGTGGCTATACAGTGTGTACTTCAGCAGTTACTGCACATTAAGGCCAACAAGTACTCCAGTATCAGCACTGACATGTGACATTTGTGCATGTTTCAGTCATTGTTATTCACACTTGTGTTACAGGCTGCATGTATCACCCAGCAGAGCTGAACTCTGGCCGGAACACGTGGGACTCCTATCCAGCTGGAGGACCTAAGAGAAGACAATGGGCTCCTGTAAACAGTCGCCCCTGGAGCCAAACAAACAGGTCGGCTAAGTCAATTATTGATTATTTAGAAAATAGAACTTTGCTGCTGTTTATAATGTCAACGACGAGCTTGGTTGAACCGATCAGAGACGTCGAGATTTCATTGACACATAACATCTCGTCGACTCTTGACCGATTGGCCGTTCATACATGTGTGATAACTGACTGGTTACATGTGTAACCCGAAGCGTGGCGCTTGAGAGGTTTAGCAAACATGGCTGACCGACCGGTCTTAAAAGCTGTCGTGTGGCAGCTTTCCGAAGTGAAGAGAGGATGTGCGGTGGTGAAGAAATGTGATATTTACTTAAACATAAACAACAAGGGCCCTTACATTTTCATTTCCACAAGGTTTTACACATTCAGAAAAACAGTTGGATCCTGTTGATTCTGAACAGCAAACAAAAACACAGCCATGGCAGACCTTCCACATAACTCCTAGAGCGTAGCTATATAGATTTGCGGCTTTTTTCTTCAATGTTTTTCCTGTTTCTTTCTAAGCAAATTTGCACATTTTTGGTTTTTTTTTTTTCTTAAGTTATTGTTTAAAACAATTTCTGTTTTTAAAACTTTTTTCGTCAGGGTTAGGTTGACTTTGGCCACTCGCAAGGGCAAATTGATATGAGGTATCGGTTTTTCTATCAGTGCCTTAATATGGACCCTTGTATACTTTGTGCTAACTTATTTTAGCTAAGTTTGGACCAGGGGTCTCAAACTGCTTTTAGTTCAGGGGCCGGCACATTTGACCTCTGAGCATGCTGTACTGGTATAATTATAACACAAGTACCTATAAATAACAACAAGTCCAGGGATTTTCCCCTTTGTTTTCATGCAAAGAAGTACACGTTTATTATTAGAAAATATTCATATCTAATGAAATACAATTTGAAAGAACATCACGGACATGAAGAGTTTGTGGATTTTTTTTACGTTCAAAATTCATCAAGTGGGCCGGATTGTACTCCATAGCGGACCAATTTTGGCCCGCGGCCTGTATGTTTGACACCCCTGGTTTAGAGGTTTTACACTTCAAATTAAACAAACTGTCAAACTGTTGACACCCCTGGTTTAGAGGTTTTACACCTCAAATTAAACAAACTGACAAACTACTTAACTGCCCCAGTAGTGGACTATATACACTATGTGTCAATGGTAGGTGTGGTTACGTGTAAAGCCCAAAGTAAACACCCTGGAAGTAGGATTTTTTAACAAATTCTAATTCACATAAAAGAGGTCAAAAATGACGGATGGACACAATGTGTTTGGTTAAATATGCAAAGAAACCCACTCATTCAAAACAGTAGTGTTTTAAGAGGCGCTGACATGTGGGTGTTGTTGACAATAATGATTTTTATTGTTGATAGGCTTCTACTGGAATATTCTGCCGTCAACCACACGTGGTTTGGGATCATAAAAGTACAACTTTACTTTTATCTTCTTTTTTATTTTTTATCTCTCTAAATGTGTGCATAATTAAAAATAAAAACTACCTAAAATTCTGCAGGAGTTCTTTTTTTTTTTGTATCATTTTATTGTTCAAGTCAGAATTAGCATTGTTCATTGTTCCCAGACTTATATCCCAATGGAGTTACTTCAGGAAAAAGTGCAGCTTTTCCAGCTTTATGTAACACCTTTGACTGTCGCTTTTTGTATTTGTTTTGCACATGTAAATGTTTTATACCCAGAAATGTCCTTTATCACTTGCAAAAGGGAGGAAAGAATGAAGGAAATGTGGAGAAAGGTCCCAGATCATGAACCTAGCAGCCTAGCTTCCCTTTTAATCGCTGACATTTTTGATTCTATGATTCTGTCATTTGCTTTAACTTACTTAATGCTATTGTTACGATTACCCTTTGTACGGGATTCTGAGTTCTGATTTTATTCACAGGGGGGAGAGGACAGTTAACCATGTAGAGGAAAAAGATATCTATCGGGGAAACAGAGCCCATCACCACCAATGGGATGAAAAAAAGCAGGGGATCGAGGCCCACAACTGGCATCACAACTCCACCCACTCCTTCTATAGGCGGCCTCCCTCCAACAGTGGCTATGTCAATGGACTCGGAGTCAGATACTCTGCCTGGAACAACTGTGCCAGCAACTCTGTGGTGAGATGGAACAATTCTGAGCATTTCTATTAATATTACAGTTGCTGCTCATTGTTGTAGTTGAACACTTTTTTTTTTTTAAAACCTCTTGTCTGTGAAACTTGCAGCACAGGGATCCTCATCTTCATCGCAGCAACTCCAGAGAACCTCAGTCCTCACTAGAGAGATGGGCTCCTTCAGACTGTGGCAGGAACTTCTCAGGCAGAATGATGATAAACCACAGGCCGGAAACCTGGAAGCGTCCTGCTGTTCGCCACAGACAAGACCAGTTACATCACCACCGTCCAGCTCCGCAGCACCCTTTTTCCCCAAGGGAAGATTGTCCTGCTAAACGGAGGAGGGACTCTGGCCTTCATCAAGTAAAATGAGATTACACCCTTATAATTCAAAACGTGATCTGTTTAGGATGGAATTTGACGTCAGTGCAAGAGCACTGATTATTGGTGATTGAAGTTGAGAGGATATCCTTGTTTCTCTGTGTAGTCATCTCACACTGGATCACATCATCTACCTTTACCTGCCTCGTCGCCACCTCTTCATCACCACCGCCACCAAGGAGACTGGAGGCCTCCTAATGACAGAGAAGGTCCTTACTACGGCTCTGACCACGCGACGCCAACACGCCTACATCAGCAGGTTAGCAATTATTATCATCTACAGTGTTCCCGCTCTATATCGCAGTTCTCCTTTCAGTCCCTCAGTACATCACAGATTTTTTTTGTTTTGCCATATCTTTTTAGGGTAAATATTTTTTTACAGATTTTTTTTGTTTTGCCATATCTTGGTATTTTACGGTATTTTAAATATTTTTTAAAATTTCCAATATGGTCATTATTTCCGTGATAAAAAACATTTTCCAACCTAAGAAAAAATATAGCAAAAAATGAACTAAAAGACATCACTGGTAGCTTTGTTTACCTAGAGGAGATCGAACACAGCATTGTGTTCCTCACGCTGATTGACTCATGTTTCATTACATCTCTCAGCATCTCCCCTTGTCTGTGCTCTTGTGTTTGATCGTCTTCTCAGGCTTCTGTTACGAAGCCCAAACGAAGACGCCGACACAGATGACAGTTAAAAGCCTTTGTTTTTCTTTACAATAATGTTCACTTCTGTGCTGAGCCCGGCTTTCATATACGGTCTGTCCGTCTTGGCCAGTATCACTCCTCTGTTCACTCTCCTCTCTCCTTGCTTCCGACCCCTACTAATATAAGGAGAGGCTCGGTTATTTCAATTACACTCACCTTTGTCCTGGGCTGCACTCATATACGGTCTGTCCGTCTTGGCCAGTGTCACTCCTCTGTTCACTGTCTCCTGCAGCTGAGCGCTAACCTCCGCCACGTCATGTATTTCATTTATTTACGTATTATGTATGTCTTATATTTCCATTCTACAACTCTACTGTGCATAACATTGTGTGTGAAAGGGTAATACAGTCTAGGGAGGGTTGATAACATATACGTAAATAATACAATAACTATATCGCCTCTACTACGCGGATTTTCCCTTTTCACTGTGGGTCTTGGAACGCAACTACCGTGATCGGAGAGGGATCCCTGTATTATCCTATTGTAACTGACATTGTCAATAAACAGCATCAGCAAAGCACAGGTAGACTGCGTTTCAGCGACAGTAACCCGGACATTCTTAACCAGGGTTGTGGGAGCAGACCGCCACATCATGGAAGCAGAGGAAGGGACGAGCAGAAAATTCTGTCTTCACCAGCAGCAGACCACACCCCTGTGCCTTACAGCCACCAAAACCATCACAGCCACTATCCACGGCACACAGTTCAACCCAGACCCCCTCAGCACAACCACCTGCTGCATCCTCTGGAGGACACGGACCCAAGGGGCTATTACCAGAAACAAAGCACAGTAAGAAACAACAGATACAAACTCCATCTATGATCAGACAAACAGGTTTAGACAAACACAATTCTATGTTGATAAATGTATAGAATTTGTTTTTTATATGTGGTTTTAAAAACATCAGTGCCAGTATTTAGTATTTGCTGCCTGGTTTAATGACTAGAGAGCACGTAGGTTCCAATAAGCTGTGGCTGTCATTAGCTTCAACAAGACCTATGAATCATTTCACTTTTTCTAGCCAACATTTGGAACTCTTTGCTTTCATCAAATTAAAATGTTAAACAGTCACAAGTATCTACCGCCAAACATACTTCTTACAATGCAAATTTGATGACTTTTGATTGGATCTGAGGGGTCTTGAACGTACTGTAAGTACTTTAGGCATTGCCTCTGTTACGATAAGCAGAATTGTAGGATAACCTAACAAATGTTATTAAAGAAAAAAAATCTACATCTTTAAGAAAATCATCGCTCCATAGCAACATGTTGATCAGCAACATTTTATATAATTTTATGAATTACTATGCGTGTTTTATATGTGTAATTACATACTTGTATTATATGTTTTATTTTTAAGAAATTTCTTAAAAATACTAATATTTTGCAGGAACCGCAACCTACTCATCAAAGGAGCATTTCAAGAAACTTGGCTTCCAGTCATTCATCTGGTGCAGCAGCTTCTCCTTTATCATCTCCCCGTTGCAGTTCTAAAGACGGAGCTTCAGCAGCCAGCAGTCCACGACCCCCAAGTCCTTCCACATACTCTACTGGAAGAAAGGATCGCGACAACACTTGTCAGAGTAGTCCTGGCCTCAGTGGACAGCATAAACTCCAGGGCAGCCCTACTCACAGCGCGAGGTCAACCCTTACACCCTCCAAAACTCACACAAAATCCAGGTTTTCAGACGTCAAACACAGAAAGACTTCCGAGTCTCTCTGCTCCCAACAGTTGCCCCACAGCAGATTAAAAGCAAGTAAACCCGACAAGGAAAAAGCTCACTGCAAACAGAAAGAAAAGCAAAGGAAAAAGGAGAGGAGGGGAGATATTCAAAAGACACGAGGAACTGACAGAGAGAGAAAAAGACAGAAGAAAAAAGAGGAGAAAATGCTAGCTCTCCAGAAAAGAAAAAAAGAAGAAACGTCAGGTGTTACAACTAAAAGGAAGGATTTGAAAATACCCCACTGTGCTTCCAGCTCCTTAGAAGAAGGCAAAATGAAGAAGAGGCTTTTGACGAGGGACAGTCAAGGCCAGTTGTTGCACAAACACAAGCACAGGCGAAGGAGTGAGATGGCGAAGAGGAGGCACAGAGCATCGACGGTGACTTCCTTTTCCAGCTGCAATTCACCTCAGAGCCACAAAAAGTCTAAAAAAATCAAGAATCCCAATGGCAAGAGTCAACTAAGAAAATCCACCACTGAGAGTCAGAACTCCGCTTCATCCAAATCTGACGACAATCTAAAAGATCATCCCGGAGATTCACTCTTATTTCCTTTAGAATCAGTCGGCGAAGTGTCAGCCGAGCAGCACGCAGAAGGCAAACACGATTGGCACAGAGGCGTTCTCAACGCCCCGGATCTTCAGCCTGTGGCTGTGATAGGAAACCTGAGAGAACCAGAAGACAATCCTGCAAACACACCTCCTGTTCTGAGCTGGCAGGGTTCTCCTGTGTCAGTTTTGGAGGAAGATGAGGATGAATTGGAAAAAGGAGTGATAAGTAGACCTGTCCTCCAGCCTAGCCCCACACAGTGTTTTTCTCCTCTTTCCGTTGACAGCGATGATTTGGAAAAACAGACGAGGGAAACTGAACAGGTCGACGACCACGACAGCTCTGAATTGTATCAGCCTCCTTGTAGGACCCGATGTGTCAACGAGACAGAAACAGAAGGAGACGTTGAGAGCAACGGGAGATGTACGGCGCCTATACTCGGTAATCTTCGTCATCACAAAGCAGGGTTAGAGGAGGTCTTCAAAAGCCTGGCCACTTTCCTCGGAGGTCAGAGGACCTCAGGTCGCGGTGGTCCTTTTGGCGGACCCCCTGAGTGTGCTGCCAACGGTGTGAAGTACTCCTCTTCTCTTGCGATTTCTCCGGATATCCACTGTAACGAGCCTCATACCGTGACCTCCGAACTGGATTCCACTTCATTCCCCAAATCCACGACTCAGTCCCCATCTTCTAGTATCTCTGACTCTTTTTCAAAATCCCACATTTCAGCAGAGCTGGGTGACCCCATCATAGAACACCCAACGCAGGGGAAACGTGAAGAAAATGAGGATGTTGGGGTAAAACGAGGAGGTGAGGAAACGGAGCGTTTCCCCGAGAGAACACCATCATCTCTTTTGGATGGATCACTGAGCGCCGAGGTAACACTGACGACCACCGAATCAGCCCGAATCACCAGCTTCCTCACAGCTTCTCCCGAGGAAGAGAAGAAACGCGGCAAAGAGACGAGTCGTGCAGGTGCAAATAGAAAAAGAAAAAGTAAGAACGGAGATGGAGAAAGAATGGGTGAGATTAAGATTAAGATAAAAACGGAGGAGAGCGATGTCCGTCCATCCAAGGTGGACAACGTGAAGGATTCGGATAAAGGAGGCGTTTCATTTACGGAGCCAGTCGTCTCGGAAAGCTCACCCCGACTTTTGAAAGCCGTCGCGAAGGGCCACGTTTCTCAGGAAAATCAAACCTCGCACGGCAAGAACGTCAAGCGTGAAAATGAAGGAGCGCTGAAAACCAAGGTCAAGGTTGTGGCGGTCAAAGAGGAAGACGATGCCGAGTTGGAAAGTGTTTTTTCGGCTGCTGCGAGAACAGACACAAGGACTTCAAACTTGGCGTCGACAGTAACAATCAGCACATCCAAATTGTGTGTCTCGTCACCAGCAGGTTCTCAGCAGAGCTCGTTATCAGCCGTCGACCCGCTGAAACTCAAAGCACTGTCTATAGGCTTGTTCAAGGAACTGAAGATCCTCCTGATCAAGGTGGACAGCGCTGGGAGACAAACGTTCAACATATCAGAGGTGGAGGGGAAAACAGTCCCGCTTTCTGAGATCAACATCAACAACACGGCAGCTGAAGTGATCCGAGCTTGCAAGTTAGTACTCACACGAAGACACTTGACACCGGATGTCTTATTTAATGGGGTAGCGGCTTTTCTGAGCATAATTGATCTCATTCATTCTTTTTTTTGGTTTGGTTTTGGCTTTTACAGAGGTGCAAAAGTAAATGGGAAATTCAAGGAGTCCTACCTGCTCCCCACTTTATCTGTTAAACCCAACAACGCCATGAAAACCTGCATTCCTCGTGACAAGCTGAACCCACCAACCCCCAGTATCTATGTAAGTAACAAATAACTAATTTATTTTCAAATAATCACGGGAATTCTCTTTTGTTTTGTCATTTAAGCAGTGGTTCGTTCGTTGACTTTCTTTTTGGAGATTAAAACCTGGAGTTGTATATAGTGAAAGGATGCAAAGCTACATCTTAACCTTTTCAAATGAAATGATTCAAATGAAGTTTGGTCATACATAAAAATTCCTCTTATGCTACTTACATCTGTCATTTGTGTTCAGTATAGAAATGTTATCCTCCGTTCTTGTTTTGCAGTTGGAGAGCAAGAGGGATGCATTCTCTCCAGTTCTGCTACAGTTCTGCACCGATCCAAAAAACGCTGTAACTGTTATCAGAGGACTTGCTGGCTCTCTCCGTCTCAGTAAGTTTATTCACCGTACCGTGCAACAACAAATACTCTAAGACAAACTTGAAAATCTTAAGTCAAAAAAATACGAAATAAATAAAAATATCTTTAGATTTTTCTTTTTTGTTGTTAATAAATAAATTGTACATATTTTGCGTGATCTCATCTAATTATATGGGCTGTATGCAGACTACTCTACTACTACGTTTAATTATATATACACTGTCATAACTCAGTCATAACTCATTTTGGAATCCCCATCTTCCTATTGTATGCCTATGTCCATTCCTATTTTGTCAACCTAACATTGTATGCCTATGTCCATTCCTATTTTTTCAACCTAACTATGCCTTTTTTTTCTTTTTTTTTTTCTTTTTTATTGTTGTAGATCTAGGCTTGTTCTCCACCAAATCCCTGGTGGAGGCAAATGCAGAACATGCAGTGGAAGTGCGAACACAGGTTCAGCAACCTGCTGATGAAAACTGGAATCTCAATGGTTCAACACAGACGTGGCTTTGTGAAAGCAGTCGCTCCCACACCACCATTGCCAAATATGCCCAGTACCAAGCGTCCAGCTTCCAGGAAAGCCTGCAGGTAGACATTTTCTCACGTGGTTCAAGTTGACCTTGGCTACATACGTATATATGATGTGATGTTTTTTGAAGCGTGTTAGCTCCTCCTGTAACTAAAACTGACATTGATCAAAAATCTTGCCATTCAATTTTATAGTTTTAAAATTTGCATTTGACAAATTAATAGTGAAAAATAAAAATATGAAGAAAAATCAATTACATTTATTTGTCCTGATCTAGGACGATATCTTAGGTTTTCACTTTCAAACTTTTCAAAAAGGATTTCCCAGAAATACACAGTATGCATTTATTTAATTAAAAATTAAAAAAAAATATTTCTATGTAAATATCCCATGTTACATAGTGGACACCTGCGGCTTATAGAGAAGTGCAGTCTAAATATGTACGGTTATGTTTTTCTTTTTAAATTTAGTGAGTGCGGTTTATATTCAGTCAGTTATATTAGTCCGGAAATTACGGTATATAAATAAACATCGACCAACATTGCTGCAAATATACATTAAACATCAGCAGTTTGTCTTCCTCTCAGCTAAGCTCATGTAGATGTGTTACAGGAGGAGAAAGAGAGTGAGGATGAAGAAGAAGAAAATGAAGAGCAAACCAAAACCCCTGATCCTTCAGCGCCCTCTAAAGATGTCCTGATGTTACCCAACAGTGAAGACCCCACAGCTTGTCCCATGGGAACACCCAGGTTAGAACAAAACTCTCTTATAACAGTATGAATGTATTTACTCTGTGAACTCAAAAACTCAACTCAGTTGTTATTCTTCACCCAGCTCTGATCAAAAAGCCGGAAAGATCATTAAATTCGGAACTAACATTGATCTCTCTGATCCAAAAAGGTAAAATAAAACCAGAGAAAACTCTCCTCTACTTTGGCTATATGTGTTTTTTTTTAACATTATTCCTTGTGTTTTATTAATAAGGTGGAAACCCCAGCTGCAGGAACTACTCAAGCTACCAGCTTTCATGCGAGTGGAATCTGGCAACAATATGCTGAGTCTAGTCGGTCACACCATCCTAGGCATGAACTCTGTCCAGCTCTACATGAAGGTTCCAGGCAGCCGTACTCCAGGTGATTGTGTGTCTCACATTACCGTCTGTCTCACACGGACCGACTTAGTTATATGTAGGAGGTATTCAGAAAACTTTATACATGTTTTAAGGCAAGATCTGAAAACAGTAACTAAAGCTGCTCATGGTCATGGGGAAGAAAAGGAATTGTAAATGAATTAATACATAATTCAATGGTAATCAAAGCATATCGCATTTGTTACAAGGCCACCAAGAGAACAACAATTTCTGCTCTGTCAACATTAACATCGGACCTGGTGACTGTGAGTGGTTTGCTGTCCATGAGCATTACTGGAAGGACATCAACAGATTCTGTGAGAAGTGAGTGGAAGGCGGTTTGACTGACAAAGCGATAAGCATTCACTGAGTCTGTGATGTTGACTGACAAAGCGATAAGCATTCACTAGAGTCTGTGATGTCTCTGTGTGTGAAGTCCAATACTGCTGCAATGTTGTTGTTGTTTTTTTATTTCCTCAGACATAGGGTCGACTACCTAACGGGATCCTGGTGGCCGGTCTTGGAAGACCTCTACAGCGCCAACATTCCAGTGTACCGCTTCATCCAGAGGCCAGGCGATTTAGTGTGGATCAATGCAGGGACCGTGCACTGGGTTCAGGCAGTAGGCTGGTGCAACAACATTGCCTGGAATGTGGGACCAATCAATGGTACGATGGATGGATGGATGGATAGACAGACAGATGGATGGATGGATAGATAGATCGATAGAACGATGGATGGATGAATGAATGAATGGATAAATAGATAGATGGATGGATGGATGGATGAATGAATAAATGGTTAGATAGATAGATAGATGACACCTGCTTTAAGCAACAGGGTTACCCTGCTTTCACCCCAGAGTGCCTCGTTCAGTCCTTAAACCGAATTCTGTACGGTTATGTTTAGAAGAAAATGCTGTCCGACATCAGCGTCACCGTTTATTATGTTTTGCCTCCCCCCACCTTCAGCGTCACCGTTTATTATGTTTTGCCCCCCCACCCCCAGCATACCAATATCAACTCGCACTGGAGCGTTTCGAGTGGAACGAGGTGAAGAAGGTGAAATCGATTGTTCCCATGATACACGTTACCTGGAATGTGGCTCGCACCATCAAGATCACAGATCAAGATACTTTCAAAATGATCAAGTAAGACGTGTCCGTCTGTGTAAATAACAAAACACCCTTAGTCAATTCATCGTCGATCCGATTCTCAATAGTCTTGTATTTGTACTGGTAAAAATGACTTCAAATTTCTACCTTCACTATACATAGAGTGTGCAATAATATGTGATCAATTTAGTTACATGCCGAAGTTGCTGTATCGGATACGGCATTGGACTGAGAAAAAAACATGTCATTTTTACAACTTGTCCAACAACAGCTTGTGTCATTGCATCCTGGAGAAATTAAGTAGATTGTGTCAGAAAGTGTGGCTCACCATCCAGCTCGGTCCGTCGTTGCCTCTTGTTCATTCTAATGTTTCCGCTCCTCCCACCTCTCAGACACTGTCTGATGCAGTCCATGAAGCACATCCAGATTCTGAGAAACCAGCTGGTAGCTGCGGGGAAGAAGATCTGCTACCAGAGCCGTGTGAAGGACGAGCCAGCCTACTACTGTAACGAGTGTGACGTGAGTGCCATCACAGAGCCGGCAGCCTCTGTACGTCTGCGCAATCTGCGTTTCCATTTGTGGCTGCTGCAACTGTTCTTTTTGCAGGTAGAGGTTTTTGACATGCTGTTTGTAACCAGTGAAAACAGCAGCAAGAAGACGTACGTGGTGCACTGTGAGGACTGTGCCCGAGCCAAGAGCCAGTCTCTGTCAGGAGTGGTGGTGCTGGAACAGTATCGGATAGAGGAGCTGATGAGAACATACGACACCTTCAGTCTGGTCAGTCTTACTTCCTAAAGTGAACATGAACGATGGTCCGCAGCTACAGTCAACGGAGACAATTCTGACGGAATAAAAATGAAACTAAAAAAATGAAGCTAAAAAGTGTTATATACGTATACGGTAGCTATGTAATTAAACCCATAACAGATAGATTTAAAAAATATGTTTTCTTACAAATATTTAAAAGACAGTGTCTTTGTAACTGACACCCAGAGTTACTATAAACAAACTAAATTGGTCAACTACTACTATGTCCATGTTTTTTGTAACTGACACCCAGAGTTACTATATACAAACTAAATTGGTCAACTACTATTATTTCCATGTTCCATGTTTAATTATTAATTATTATTATTTTATATTATCAATATATTTTTTTATATCTATGTTTTTGATGTTTAGAAGGGTGGGTAATGTAATTAATTGATAGTAATTAATTGGTTTTTAGTTATTTTAATTGGGGAAAATGCAGTCGAGATACGAGCGGATCGACACACGAGTGCTGTTGTGGAAAGGATTAAACTCGTATCTTGAAGCCCCACTGTATAGGGATGGCTCGATCCAGTTGTCGGGATCGGATTTTGTCTAATATCGAAAAAATCAACTGTAGTTCGTACCACATTAATATTAATCATTAACATTATTCATTGGATTAAAATGTTAAACAACATATTTTTTTAAAACTGAAATGCATTAAAAACAATGCTTTTTTATAAAAACACTGGATACATTTTGCAGCACAACTTAACAACACAAAAAACATTCACTAAATGAATAAATAAATACATTTAAAAAAAAAAAAACGAAACAAGGATAGAGTAGAAGATGCTTGCAGCATGTTGGAGGTAAAACGAAGGTATCGCATTGATAACAACATTGGCAGATACTCCCAAGTATCGTGCATGAAGTAACTTGTATCGAGCCGTCCCTCACTATACCAGTTGTGTGTTTTTATTTGTTGTTTATTGTGTGTACACATAATGGCCAGACATGCTCTCCCTCTTGTCTTCCTCTCCAGGCTCCCTCGTCCTTGTCAAAGTAAGGACTCCTCCCTGGTTTATATCAGCACTTACCAAAACTCGAGATGGCAGCACAAATGTTGCCTCCGCGGCAAACACTCTCTAAATCAGCCAATCACATCAACACAGTATTGTTTACATCACACAACAAGGTATGGAAACTCAGCCAATCCAACTCCAGCTTACTCTACTGTCTTCCCCCTTACCAGCTGCTCTTTGGACGTGTGTTTTTTTTTTTTTTGTTGTTGTTGTTTTTTTTAAAAGAATGACTAGACTGGTACTTCTCGTGTAAAGCATTTCCGATGTGAACAAATACAAAAAATACCCGTGTAAAGCATTTCCGATGTGAACAAAAACAAAAAATACGTGAGCACTGGAAACAATGGAAAAATCAGGTGATATATTTAACGGACACTGCTGTGATTCAAAAGCGTCAAGTAGCCACTTGTTTGTAATAATTCAGGTACTCTTATGCAAAACCAGTTGTACTTTTTTTTACACCAATCTAGTTATTCTACATGTCCACGAATTTGCTGTGATCCTATCAAACCAGCAGGGGAAATCGCATGGGAAGTAGCTGACCGTCACATTCGGCATCATCGTATTGGTATTCCTGTTTTTTTGTGGGTTATTCAGGTGACATTTGTAACACGTGTCTGTAAACTCTTCGAGGTGCTATTCCAACTTTATTTATTCTTGTTAGATACTGAAAAAAAAACCGTTTTACCAGCCTACAAGTACACCACATTGGCCTTGTGAACTGTATCAAAAGGAAAGGTGACTAAAGGAAAGGAACACGCTCACACAAAAATGGTTTTAGGTATGTAGTGGGAAAAAAAATTCTCTCAAATACGGGTTTACTAGAGAACTAATTTGTTTCTTATAATTGTTTTTTGTTTTAGTTTGAATTTTAGCATGTTGCATTTCTTTCATGACTTCAGTAGTTATTGGTGCTGTTGTTATAAGACCAGGACAACAAGAGTGTCATTTTCTTATGTTTTTAAAAAGGTACACAACCTGTTTTATACCTCTTTTGTTTTAATGTTCCTGTTTCCAGACAATGGTAAAAAAGAAACAATTGTAAATGGTGAATGGCATTGTTGTATTGATGGTGTGCATAGATTCAGTTTTAAAAGGGCAATGTCGTGCAGTTTTTTTTCCAGTCTGATCCTCAAACTTCTGTTTGAGGATTTTGAGGCAGGTTTTATTCTGTTTTTTTGTTTTTGTTATTTTTACTTTAGCCTGAATACGTTTTTGGAAAATATATTTGAAATTAACCAATAGTAGTATTTCACACAAAACAGAAAATATATTTGAAATTAACCAATAGTTTTCATTTCATTTGAACACAATCAGTGTGTTCTATTTTTATTAATTATATTTCAAAATAATGTGAATTGATGGTTGATGGTTTTTTTCTTTTTTTTTCTTCACTCTTTTGAAACACAAAAACCTGTGTCAAGCTCATATCAGCTGAGATTTTGGTCCAGTTTCAGCTGCTTTTTCTGCACCGAACCTGTTTGTCATATACTGTACATCACACTGGACTAGAACCAGCGTTTAAGCCCCCCTGTTCAGTTTGCTGCACAGCCATTGGAATCATCGGACCTTTCTGAACTGATCTGTGCACACCATTTCATATACTTGATATACAGTATGTAGATAATGTATTCTTTCAAGTTCATAATTATCCTTTGTAAATGGTGAAAAGTGTCGACCTCAGTCTTATGTTTTTGTTGTTTATATATAATATAAAAACGGCAAACACTTCTCTTGAAATGACTGCAGAGGGAGTGAATTTATTCTCCATTTTTATACCTCTTTATGTTGTCGGTTTATGAGTTATGGATTGCAGAGAACAAAACATGTAAATTGTGACATTATTTATACTGTACATTGTTGTTTTTTATGTATTTATTAGATATTGGTGGGTACTTCACTTGACAAGGGGCTATACGGTGTTTTAAACATGCGGCCATTGGTGGACAGGGGAAGTGCAATCAGGGGTCGGTGGAATTCTCATGGTGCTTGACCCTAACCTTTCCTCAATGCCCCCTCATTGGACAGCATATAGTGTTGTATGGAAAACAGTCAGTGAAACAGCTTAAACCAACCAGTTGGTGCTCAAACCAGGCCATCAGAGTTTACTGGTAACAGAAATGGAATGATGTCTTTGTACTGTATCAAACAGATAAAAAAAAATAATACTTTTTTAAACTTTTCTGTTATACGTATTCTTGTGACACGGTACCGGTTTTACGACGAGCATAGCAGTAGTTGTGATTCTCCAACACTTTTGCAGAGACTTTTAGGGATGTAACTTTTATCAGCGTCGGGGGTTGGGGTTTTCTTCATGTCGTCCTAATTATTAATATTATTTAAAAGGATGTTATGATGGTCCGGGTTTTTTTTTTTTCTCTCCTCCTCTTTGATTTACGCTGCACATATGGTTTCAAAACAACTCACTTAGAAGAAAACCTGAGCCAAACCTGTCTTAAAATGTATTGTTGTTCAAAAAAATTAAATGTTTTGATAAATTATTCAACACCGATTGTTTCGGATGTGACATTTGTGCCAATTGTGGAGTGTATTATATGTATGTAATCCTTCAATGTATTTTTATATTTGTACTGCCCATTTATAGATTGACAATAACTTTGGCTGTATGTTTGGAGTTTAGTGATGTTTTTCTAAAGAAGCTATTCGGTCCAATCGGATGACTCCATTGGGGTATGGCCTGATTGGTGTTTCTCAGCATGGAAAACGCAACTGATCCTGACCAAATGACCAACTCCATGTACAGAAATGTATATCTAAACTTGGAAACTTCACTCTTGGCCAAAGACACTCATAATATTATTACAGGTATGTTTTATTAGGGCTGCACTTCGTCCATGAATGCCTAACTAAACAGACTCAATCACTTATCCTCTAATGTCTATTCATTTTCAGGGCCAGAGCGCTGGACCGGACCGCTGCTGTCATTGGGCGTGGGTGATGTACATCCTGGATTGTTGGTCAGTCCATTACGCAGCAACTTCAAATTTGAAATCAGGTAAGAACTCTTATGTGTATTTACATATTTTACACCTTAATTTTCATTGGTTCATTTTCCAACTAAGCTGAGTATCATTCTCAAGCAAGCTGTTTTTGTCCATCCTACTCTGTGGGAGTAGTTTACATGAAAATTAAATGATTTCAAAACAACTGATATATATATATTAAGTCTTTTATAATTACAAATTGTGTTACCTGTCACTTTTAATAATAAAAAAAAATCTATTATTTTATTCTTGACATCTTCTCTTCCTCATATACGTTGGTTGCGATCTAAATGTTATTAGCATCGACAGCCATGTTAGCAAAGTGTCGGGGAAAGTTGAAAGCATTGCTAAACTATCCCCTCCCAATTTCCTCCTCTAATTATGGTCAGAGGAGGGAGATTAAACAGTGCCAAACTGGCTGGATCTTTTCTCTGCTGCCAAAGAAAGAGAAAAAACAGCTGGAAGTCAAGACCACTGTGAGCCCATTGTAGATAAGAAGGGTGATGAAAGAGAGGTAGAGACGTCCACTATGACTTTGCTGACATTAAATTGACATCACCGTCTTTCATTTTTGACACCTATAAAGCCTGCCAAAAAAAAAACCCCAGTCCCCAGCAGAACTCTGCCCAGACCATTTAGCAATCCTGCTTCTCTGTGTAACAAATTAAATATTGTTTGCCAACACTGACCACGCAGTTTATTTCCTAGCCTGCAGGGGGTACTAAAAACATACTAAACAACAATATATTAAACACATACTATATATAAAGTCCTTTTGCATGATTCCAGTGTGGTGGTAGAAAATACAGTAACAAACGTTTTCAACGTTTTATTTAATGTCTACCTCCTTTACTATATAATAAAATAATGGTTTCTTTACTTTATTGTGAGATGTACTATGGGCAATTCTCCCCCTGGGCTAGGATAGGCTAACACCTCATTGCCCCACTACTTTTCTGGATTTTACCAGATAAAACAGTAGTAAAAAAGATGAAAAACAAAATAATGATAATCATTTCAAGATGATCTTGTTTCCGCACATTTGAGATTTCTCTGGGGTCATTTTATTTAGTGTGTATTATTAATATTATTATTGTTGTTTTACTTACTACTATTTCATTGTGCTTATCAGAATGCCTTAATATGTTAAATAATTCAATTAATTTATCCTCCTAACCATGTCTCTGTTCAAGATGTTTTTTGTAGATTTTGGTTGATCTATGTTTATAGATTGTACATAGGAAAGTTTGGTACCTAATAATTTAAAAAAAAAAGAAGCCTCAAAGTGCATGGAGACAACATTGGTAATGTGCTCGTGTAAAACGACGCGGTGGATTATATTCAATACACCTATCGTCATTGCTGATGTTACTGACCTTTGCATCAAGAGACTTCTGTAAACTTTAAAGCTAACTAAACATCTCTGTTATAAGGAAGTTGTATTCATATCATATTGTATTTATAATATCTATATCAGCCTCTCTCCTTATTGTTGCTGATGTATTTCTGTCCTCCCTTGTTTAAAGGACATGACGCTGCCAAATGTATGATGCAGAGACATGTCATTGTAATGGACAGAGTAGCGGATTTCCTTGCTTCAAGGACAGGAACAGTGCTCTTCCTCTACCCCCTCACCCCTCCAGGATTCTGACATATAAGTGCAAACAACACACAGTGTCAAATTGTAATTGCCTAAATCGTTTGCTTTTTTCTTTTCTTTTTTTCAGAGAACGAGAACTTGTTGCGTTGGTTCTTGGAACTCGGGCCAAATGTTCAAATGCGGTGAAAGCCTCCAGGGAGTTTAAATCAAAGTGTTTCTCGCAAAACAAATAAACATAAAGCCCAGAGTGAGATGAAAAGGAAGATGAGAGTTCATATCAATATACTAATTTCACCCTTTGAACTAACCCCTTGTGGTTTCCTTATCAGCCCCATGATAGCCAATGTTCTCCCCTTTCTCATTTCCTTGGCTTTTTGGATGCAGAGCTCTGTTTTTCAACAGAAGGTCATAGGTCCCTGGGGATTTCTTCAGCAGCTCTGCTCACAGCATTCTTTTTGTGCAATCTGCAGAGTAGGTGAATGGATTGTGTGCGCATTGGGAGTTTGCAGGTTTTGTACGATTATTTATATTTTCAGCAGCAGACCCCGGCGTGCGATGGAGAAAGCTTACTGACAGCGTAATGTGTCGTCGAGTGGGCAGCACAGCCTGACTCCCGTAATCTTTTCAAATAAACACTCCAGCCCCCTCCCACTGATTCCAGGGGTTATCAGAGAAAGTTCCCTGCTGCTCCGCGCCCAGAGAAAAAAAAAAAGAAAAAAAAACCAGCCGTTTTTAACACAGCCCAGTCTGTGCTCGTTGCATTAACACTCTGGGCAAGACAGGATACACACTCACACACGCTCTCAATCATATCTCAGAGTGGAGTCGGTGTGAGGAAGCAGAATGTCAGGGAAGGAAGTGCTGAAGCCAGTGGGAAAGCAGAGTTTGCCTCAAGTTCTTTACTGAGATTGGGATTGCTAACGGCAGGATTTTTTTTAAATTTCTATTTCCTTAAATTGAACAAAAAGACAAAAAACTTGTAGATACTTTATGTAACTTCTATATAGTCTCTGGGACCTGGATTTTCAAACGAAGAAGTCATATGTCAGAAGGAAATACGTGAAATTTCTTTGTCTCTGACCCCTCACCACTCCTCTGAGTATCTTTACTACTGAACCACCGGTGGAGCCATCAGGTTTATCACGCTGTAAGTGCAAAACTGTTTGATTTTTTTTTTCTTTTTCTTTATCATGGTCTTTTTTTACATTTTTATATTAACCGTCAATGTGTTGAAAATGTTCATCCTAATCATAGACATGAAAAAATTTGGTTGGAGTTGGATACGTGAGGAGAATTAAAGAGTGATGAGCAAGGTTAGATGTTGAAGTAGTTGATTTAACCAGTGAGTTGCCTATGTACTTTTAAGTAATAGTAATTTGTAAAATAAATTAATTTTGTTAACAAACTCTGTATTTTCACTGTAAAAATGTACCTTCCATAAACATTCATCTAAATGTAAGGTAAAAAGGTATGTGAAAGATAAGACTTATTTTAAAGGATTTTCTTTCATTAGGCCACTGCGTGTGGTCACACAAAAAAACAGAAAAGTGATACTAGCCTCTGAAGAATGTGTACTACTAAACTGACAATAATAGTTCACTACAACAGTGAGTTATTTATGTGAGCCAAAATGACCACTAACCAACGTCAGATGTTTTTTTTGGGGGGGGGGGGTGAACTGGTCTCACAGTTTTCCAGCTGCTACGTTTCATTGTTCTGGTTAGTGATTGTCCTGGAGTAAGAAGGTGGGGTTGGGTTGCAGCTCATTTCCTTACTGTGCAGCTATCTCTGTTGACTTTTCATGCCTTTCACCACGTTACATAAAGTGGGCCGCTACTTAATGGACAGACATTCCTTAGTGAGTGTTTTTAATGGCCTTTTTTAGCTTCAAACAAGACGAACAAAGATGGATTATGCGACATGAATGCTAGTTTCTCAGCCACTTGAAGTACTTGAATATTAAAGGTTTCAACTGTTGTGTAGGTACAGTAATTTAAAGTATTGACAAGCAATATGTATCCTTAATAAGGATGTATCTATCTATCTATCTATCTGTCCATCTGTCTATCTCTCCATCTATCCATCCATGGAGCATTGTCAAGTTCTTAGATTTTGTTTTTGATATCCCTATTTATTATTAATGAAGCAGCTAGCACTTGTTTATTTAATGAGCTATTTCTTTTTTTTCCCCCCTTCTGCAGATCTTCAGACCTCCAGAAACATGAGTCTGTCACGGAACGGCACACTTGAGAGGACGTTATCCGAGCAGACCCACTCTGAGTCGAGGAGCGCTTCACGAGTGGGGTCAGGAGTTGTGGTGCCTCCCCCGTACTCACTGGGTGCTAGTGAGGCTGCCGACTCCCCCCTGGAACTGAGGGGCTCTCTGGACTGCTGGGCATGCTCTGTGTTGGTCACCGTCCAGAATTTTGTTATTGCATTGATTAACTCAGTGCTGGCCAGTGTCATATTCGGCACCATCCTCACCCCTGCCCTCGCCATGATCGTCTTTGGTTTCCTCTGCCACTCCACGGTACTGACCCTTTGTAGATTTGAGTTAGTGGTCGATTCAGATGTAGGGTATACAATATATAGAAAATAGAAAATAATAATTCGAAAAATGTTTTGCACATGTTGTTGTTCAAAGATAGAGATATTCAGTTTATAGTTTTATTTTTATAAAGTTTTCCCATATATGACACACCTCTGAGAAAGATCTGTGTTTTCTCAGACATTCGATACTGTTTTCTGAGAGAATTGGATCACGTTGGAGATTGAGTCTAATTTTTTGCACATGTGACTAAGCTGGTTTCAATAATTTGTGGAGCGCATGGTGGGAGAAAAATAGAAGAAGCTGATCTGATGCACATTATTTTAAAGGTTCATCTTTTGTGAATTTCCAATACCGTGAATTTTTAGAAATGGCCTTTCTAACAACAAGAAAACTTTGAATAAATTATATAAAAAAAATTTATTATCATTATTATGAAAATTTAAACTCCTAACCTGTAGAAAAGCGTGTCTCTTGATTATTATGAAAATTTAAACTCCTAACCCAAGTGTCTCTTATCAAATCAGATGTAGCAATGAGTTTCATGTGAGACCATATTTTTGCAGAGAAGGTTATTAGGTTGCAATTTAAAAAAAGATAATAAGAAAAGCTCTTTTGTCATAGAGCCGTGTTTAAAGTCAACTCTCTTTGATTTTGTTAGCCAGAGGCTTGTCATCTGTCTGTCTGTAGGTTTATTTCTTCTGTGGCCTTTCTTGCCAGTCATCTTGACACGTTAAAAACGGTTCTAACTGAGAGCGTATGTCGCTGATAAAAAATAAATAATAAGAATAATAGCAATTATTATTATTATTATAAACTAAAATTGTTTATTATATTTTTTTTACCCTGGAGTACCAAATCATCCATGGCCCAGGACTCGGCTGAGGCCTAACGCTCGCCTGTTAAAGGTTTCCTTAGTGTTAAACACTAGTTCTTAGACATGACCAAAAGGTAAAAAAAAAAAGACTTTTTTAGGGATATTTACTAGCTTTTTATTTGAATTGTGTGAGCTTTTCCATCCCCTGCAACTTTCACAGCATCCTCCCTTAACTATCCTTCATCTCCATCTCTTGTTCTCCAGGTGCAGCCCCACGGAACATCTGTTTTCTGCTCAGACGTACTGGACGACACAGGCTGTGTGGCTCTGCTGGTGGTGGGTTTTCTGCTGCTCACTCCTCTGCTGGTCCTGGCCCTCGCAGCCTACTGTCGTCTGGCCCGACACCTCCAGCTGGGCATGTGTTTCATACCCTACAGCCGCGCTGTGTACAAAAACTTGCCTGTGTCACGTAACCAGAAGGCCGATGGAGAAAGCTGTTGTGGTAAAAAGGGCTCATCAGAGAGGGAGGGAAAGGGAAGCATTTGGGTGTAAGAAAATAGAGAGCGAATGGGAGGAATGGAGGAAAGGTGAGGAGATGTGAGGAGAGGAAAGGAGAGGAGAGGAAAAGAGAGGAAGGGAGGAGAGGAAAGGAGAGGAAAGGAGAGGAGAGGAGAGGAGAAAATACGAGAGTTAGGTTGCAAACATCAAGCTCTTTTTTTTCCTTTTTTTTTTTTTACAAATACAAGTATTAACTGCATCTACTTCCATTGTAAAAATCCATCATCATTTATATTCAGTGTATGGATGATATTGTTTTTTGCATTTATATTGTTACATACTTTGTGTATTTTTGTACTTTTTTAAAAAACTTTTTTTTTAAATACTGTTACTTAGCCATGAGTTAAACTGTAATTCGTTGTTCCACCAGAAATTATCATTAAACCCTAACATTCTCCTTGAAGACAGAAGAGGTTAAAGGTCAGCTTTAAAATACAAACAAAACTTAACAGCTGTGATGGAAAAATAAATGTGTGCACACATTTCTGTGTCTTTGACTGTAAATTAACAACAGCCACAACAACATAAAGACAGTTTCCCAAAAGATCACTCAATATCTATATGTAAGTGACTAATATTTAAATGTCATTGTCCAATGTATTAATTAGACAAATCTCATTGGTCTAATTAGGATAAAATGCAACATTATAAGGTTGCATGATCTGGTTGTAATGTCTACAGATGAGTAGCTACCATCAAACCGTTTCACAAAAATTAAACAAAAACTCAGTTCTTTTAAAAATATGTAAACATTTCTGAAGTCTAGAAAATTAAAATATTTAATTAAAATAAAAATACTAAGATCACATTTCTTTTTATTAAGAGATATAAGTACATATAACATTTTATTCATTTTCATTTTTATTGTGTACTGTTTCTGAAAACATTGACCTTTGAGACTTTTGTATGTACTCCCACTGTGTTTTTTATTAGAAAGTGTTTAGAATCACCCCATGGCAGAAAAAAAAAATATTCTAAATGCACAAGGAGAAAAGGGAAGCTGGTTTTTAGTTTAGAAAATATTGTGACGGCTGGGGAAGAAATGTCCATGTGGTGTAATATTGAAATACTTTTTCTGACAGTTCTTGGGTGCTGTGAACGCACCATGTCTTAGCGCACATGCGCAGTGTGTTCTGTTCCGTGTTTTGGACTCGACTAGCTGAGAGTTCTGCTGCTAGCAGTTTGTCTACCCTGTGGCTAACAACAGTGCCGGTTTCAGGTGAGCTAATAAACCGCTTTCTAATAAAATAAAAGCTGCAGTAAAACTAAGTGAAGTGAAGTAAGTAAACCCAAACGGCTTATAGTGTCATTGTTAACAGCGAATACAATTTAAAGAGCAAAAATGGCAAATCTCTTAAACAGCAGCGGTCCAAGTCTTCCTTTTTTTGCTTACTGCGCAATTCATCTTTTCAGGACCCACGTTGACGGGGTCCTTATTCCGTATCGTTCATAGTAAAATTGCCCAAGTCATTTTTTCCACAAATGGCGATATCAGCCAAACTCTAAAGCAACTCCCCCAACCCTCGTTTTTCTGAGAACGTTAAAATATGACTAATAAGGCAGTTATGCTGTTATGCTGTTATGCTAACGATATCAAACCTTATATCACTAATGGTGAAAAGTAAAACAGTGGAAGTTTTTTTACAGTGGGTGCTATGATTCTGTCCAACCACTAGATGGCAATAGATTTATCTTTGTCATTAATGTAAACGTTATTTAGTCAAAAAATGGAAATGTTTTTATTATAGACCTTTATTCATATATAAATTACAAATTGAAGGCTTTTGTGGTTATTTTAATGAAAAATTCAATTGTATAACTTTATAGTGTTGGATAAAAAATAACATTATGATTTACAGAGTGTTGTGTTTGATAGTTCTGAGCATCACATTGAATATTATGGAATTCTGGGGCAGGGTCAAATGTTTTAATTTAACAGGATTGGCTTTGGATGTTCATTAACAGTCTGTGATGTGGGGCTTTGTAGGGAGCTGTGAATGCACCCGGTGACAGGGTTCCACGTCCTGACTCATCCACCTGTCCCATGATTATGAAGTCACCACCTTTATGGGACAGAAAAGAACGACAGTCAGTCAGTAGGGTTACATTCAAGTATGAATTGTTATGTCAATAATCACAGTTCATACCTCGTCTGAGCAACGGGCACTTCCTGCACTGTGACAACAGCTTCACTGACATAGTTTCTCCCAATTGAGTGATTATCATTCGTCCTGCCTTGTAGGTCTTAATTATGGACACACCAATTTGGAGAGTGCCTTGGGGCCCAGGGGCCAGAGAAGTCACCTTTCCAGTTATCACTGTATGAAAAGAAGAGCCAGACAAATATTCAGTATTGCTCATTGGTAAAGTTGAGTGTTTCCTAGTCTTTTTTGAGCTACTGTAATAAATACTGTACATATTTTCTTTTAGAAAGCCAGACAAAAATGTCACAAAAGGTAGATGAATGAAATATTATGATCTTGTTTCTATTCGCTTGACTTGCCCAGTTTGAAACCTGGGCCTATTTATTTGAACATAACAAATATGGCAGTTTTTAAAAATTGACATGGTTAACTTACCAAATTCACTGGCGCAGAAACTGCTCTTAATTGTTCCCTGCCTTTTACAGGCTTGGGCACACGCTGGGTTCTGAGCAGCTGTACACAAAATATTGCAAGGTAAATTAGACGTACTTTGTGTTTACAAAAAAAAAAATTACAATTGTTTGCATTGAATTGCAACTTCACTCACCGGGTCTCTTTCCATTAGGCCTTGGCACTGGGACCGTCCTATCCTTGCCTGCGTTCTCTTGCCCACGGTTTCTGACAGGATTTACTGGTCTGTGTCTTTCAGTGGGCTTCGGTGGCGGAGGAGGTGGAACATACTTAGCTGTGGGAGCAGGCGGCTGAACAGGAGGAGCCGGACGTACTCTTGCAAAAGGTTTGACTGCCGGTTTCGATGGGATAGTACTGGTACCAGCTCCGGCGTTAACGGCTGGAATCTGAAAACCTTGAGGAACGCTGGTGTACTGGGCAAAGAAGCCATCCATTATGACACTGAGGTCAGACACAAACTGGACCAGTAGAACATTTCCACTGGTGAGTATTGGTCTAGAGAGGAAAATTGAAATTTACAAAACTTAAGTTGTGAATTTTGTTCTTCTTTGTGTGTCTTAAAATGTCCAGTATTAAGTATTTGTATTATTGTACTATTTGTGACCCTTGCTGTTAAGCATATATCCTATTTTCCGGACTATAAGTTGCACCAGGCCAAAAATGCATAATGAAGAGAAAAAAAAAACATATATAAGTCACTCTGGAGTATCACTGGTCTCACCGGTGCCCCCAAGCGCTTGTCAGTGTGAAAATAACAAATGTGAAATTATATTTTAATGTATAAGTCGCACCTGAGCATGAGTCGTAAACCCAGCCAATGGATGAAAAAAAGTGTGAATTATAGTCCAGAAAATAGAGTATAAAAAATGAGTAAAAATAAGGCTCAGGTGAAAGCAGAACAGAGGGAGATTTCATTCAGGGATAGTGCAACAAAGCGTGGTATGGAGGTTAACATGAAGGAAATTAGATCTGAAATCAATATGATAGTGGAAAAGTTAGGCTAATTAAAAAAAAGTCCATAAACCCCTATAAAATGTAACTCACTGTGGAGCCTCATCGCCACAGTATTTCCCAATCAGGTTTGAGTCGTCTTTCTCTCCGCCATTATAGAAAGCCACGTAGTCAAACCTACAGTAGGTGTCAGACTCCAAGGAGAACTTATCAAACTTCACATGGATCAGCTGGACAAAAAACCCAAAAAATAAACACCATCATCAACACTGACATTCCAATGACAGCGAGGCTAACCGAGCAACTCACCCTGTTAGGCTCCACTGTGATTAGCCACGAGCAGCTGGTTCCTGCTGGGTATTTCTTATCAGGCCAGTTGGGCGTCATGATTTCTCCCTGGGCTTTGGTTGTCTTTCCACCACAGAAAGGTGTGTCTGATACAAGGGTTAGTAAAATATTATGATAAAGTGTTGTATATTTGTGATCACCAGCGTAATCACGAGTACTGTTTAAGTACTGTTTAACTAGGCATACGTCTCAGTTACTCAATGTACTAGACGATGAATATTTTTATTGTCTAGTAGATGATGAAAATGATACATTCAAAACACATATAAAGGCCCTTATATTTTGCAAGTGATTTATCCATTGATCGATCTTCTATTGCTTTAGCCTATTCAAGCCCAATGGGAAGCTCTAGCTAGTCCATCTTAATGACAAACAGGAGGTAGGATACACTTTGGAAAAAGATTACACTACAAATATAATACAATCTGCCATAGGCGCAGATGGCACTAGACATGGGGGGGACATGACCCTCTCAGATTCATGGTGTCCCCGATCTGTCCCCCCCACTGTCCCCACATAAGGCGACAAAAATCGAGCAGTAGTGTTCCATTTGTGACATGTTAGTGTGCTACAGCTAATGGTGCGTTCAAGTTGTGCATGAAGAAATATAGAGAAATAGAAATATACATGTATCTACGTATATATGCATGTATATAAATATATATATATATATATGGCTGTTTATAGTAGTATTGCCGACAGCTTGGTCCCCCAAGTTCAAAAAATGCCATCGTTTTTACTCCAGTATAAATTTAAACACAACTGTACAAACATTTGGAAGAGCAATATATTAATCAACATTTTATACAGTAGGATTATATTACCTTTGTGGGAATCACACCCCAATTTAGAAGAGGAAAAAGCGGAGCAGTGTTTCACTGGTTAAATAATCCAAATATGTGAGAACAGTGCAGTGCAATCTGTAGCAAATTTAACTGCTTCATTTCAACATGTGTCTGCTCTTCAATGTGGGCTTTGATCGATAACATTTGATATAAATTCGATTTCTTTTTTCTTCTTTAAAGATGTGGAGCGTGAGTTAAAGGCAACAGCTCAGACCTTTAGACTTGAAATGAAGAGATGGTGATTTGATATAATGACCATTCAAATACAGTCATTACAAGAATTTATGATTTATATTTGTTTTAGCTTTTTAAGAAAATTTTGTTCTCCATTTTCTTCTATAAGAAAACCCCCCCAGAACGAAACGTATCATTATCCCCATGTGTCAAATTCGAGGCCAGTGGGCCAAATGTGGCCCTCCAAGTCATATTGTGTGGCCCACAGGAGCTTAACAACAATTTGATTGCCATATAATAAAGTCCCTGCTGGTGAGGTTCTTCACCTAAAAAATGTTGTTACGCAGAGCAGTATACAGTATTATGAACTTACTCCGTAAACTTAATTCGTTACGGATTAGTTACATCTATACAGTGTTACAGTTACTACCAGTTCCCAGGGGAACTGTATTGCTGATGTTGCTCCCCGATTAAAAAAATTAGTTTACACCCCTGTCATTATCATTCTAAGTTGTGGCCACATACCTTCCACATCTGGGTTGGTTCCACTGAAGTAGGCCACAAATCCCCTTCCCTGTGTCTCCCCATCCGTGCCCATCTCTAACATCATGGTGTTGCTGGTGGAAATGAGAGCACCCGGTCGAAATGTTCCACAAAACCGCCCCAGTTTTTGCACCAAGTTGGTGTTGCCATTGTAAACATCCAGATAATCGTAGCGACACTGTGAATCAGCCTCTATGTCAAAAATTCGGAATGTGAGCATGACCACGTTTCCCTCAGGGACCTAAAAAAAAAACCCCAGACCAGAATGAGGAGCGCGATGAGAAAAAACATGAAGTCAGTGTGTGGGCGTGCAGCATCATGACTAACTCACCGTGATACGCCATGTGCATTTACTGTTTGGTTTGTAAAAACTTGGGAAACCTTCACTCCCAACGAACCCAGAATCTCCCACCATGTCCCCACCACAGTGGAACACAGGCCTGGAAGGAAGGACACAGGGAGACAGACACAGACAGGACAGGGTTTGAAGTTTTGTTTGAAACTGCCACGTGGGCTTTTTTTTGGAAAATATTGTTGCTGAACACAGTCTGCCACTGTCAAAAATATGATCCCTACTGTGCAAAGAGGAAACCATATGTCAGTAAGTCAGCTCCAAACAAATTCAACTGAAAAGGACAGAACTTTCTTTATTGTTTTTGTCTAACTGCAGCTTGTGAATGGCCTTCTCCTTACTCCAGTACCTCAAATTCCATTTACCACCGAATTTGCAACTGGTGGTCTACCGGTACCGACATTATAATTTTTCAGCATCTGACCAAATGTGATGCGCTAAATTAGGACTTCTCTGATAAATTCAGAATAAAAGAAATTGTAGACAATTTCTCAAAATGCTCTAATTTGATTAGAAATATACAGACAAGATCAAATTTTGATTAAAAAAATTGCCCAAATATTTTTTATTATAATTTTGAAACATCTGACAAAAGATCCTGAAAAATTCCAAAAAATATTTTTTTCAAAAGAATTCTCAAAATACCTAAATTTGATAAGAAACATGCAGACAATATAACATTTTGGTAAAAACAAAAAATGCCAAAAGAATGTACCATAATTTTTAACATCTGACAAAGTATACATTATAAATTAGGATTTTATCGACAATTTTCCAAAAAATTTCTAAAAAAATTCTAAAAATGCTTTAATCCCCCACTCACCCCTTTATATTGGCAGTTCTAAAAAAATGTTAAATACTTAAGTCCAAATATATCAAATGGGATTCAGATCATGCCTTTCTTTTTTATTCATTAGGAATTGGCCCACAACCTTTAAACCACCAATAAAAGTATTACGGTAGTTCTGGGACATAACATCTAGATCTATTCTGCCAAATTTCACCACATGACCATTTTGGTAAATATTTCTTTAACTACAGCTTAGCACTCAACTCAAGCCTCGGCTCAAATGAAAAGAATAAAAAAAAAAGTCAATGTGCTGGCAGTTCTTTCACAAAAACACTAGCAAACCGTGGCTGACTTTTTTCAGCAATGAACTTTTTCCAAACCATTAAATGAAAGAACCTCGGGGAGATAAGGCTGCAGCTCAGATTTGAGTGAAAACAAAATCTCCTGATTTTAGTGGCTTTATGTGTCTGTGTGAAGGTCGCTAGCAATCATTTTCTTAGGGTTACGACTGTGGCCAACCAGGACAAATGTGACTCGTATATCTTTTGTATTATACTTTTTTTTTAAATAAAAGCTCAGTTTTGCTGAGTCAAGTTGCTACGATTTCGACCCCACGAGCAGAGTGAAATCATCAACATCTGCAGTGGATCAGTGTGGTTCAAATCATGAGCCAAACAACAAGTATGTGACCAAACAAACAGATCTGCGGAAAGATATCGTTACAGACACTAGAAAGAGTAGAGAAATTCGATTTTTCACACTAGAGCCATTCCTTTTAGCAAAGTACAGACTGTTTAACTCGATAGGAAGACTGTCGAGAGTTATCGAACTTCCATGGAAGCATGGACACTTAACAAACGCGTAACAAATCGAGCAGTATACGACTTAACAGCGAAATTTCCAGAATGCCGTCTTCAAACACTGCAGCTGCACCCACCTGGTGTAATTGGTCTGCTGGGCCTTGGTCCATCCTAAACTCAGATACAGGATCAAACAGAGAGCCCAGGCGCAGCCTACGTGCAACATGATTGCACACAAAGCAGAGTACTCTGGACAGGAGAGGGAGGTGGTAGAAGGACAAGAGAGGTGAAAGACAAGGGGGTCTGAGGGGGAGGTAACTGATGGGAAGTGGGTGGAGAGAAAATGGTGGGGAGGAGAGAGAGAATGTTAATGGACAGCGGTAGTTAAGAAAGGACAGAAGTAGTGAGATTAAGAGCCATGAGGGGGTGTTGTGAGTAATGACGGACAGAGAAGGGCTTTAATTAGAGCCAGATGTTTCCCCTGGAAGTGGCCTGGTTTCGGTGCAACAGAGAAGGCACGTAGCAGAAAAAGTGCCGAGTAAAGAAGTTACTGCACTTACTTAGTGGAAATCAACAAAGAATAACGTATTTTTTTCTTTATGTAAAAAGTCCAGTTTTCACGTTTAAAGTCATAGTTACATAATAACTTTTTGTTAAGTAAGCCAATATAACATAAATCAGGCATCTGAGACAAATCAAAACCACAAACCAAAATAGAAAAAAAAAAAAGAAAATAAACATAATACTCTGTCACGAAAAAAAAGAAAATAAACGTAATACTCTGTCAAACAGGAGGTACCGATCCAGTTCTGCATCTGCCAGTAAGTTCAAATGTTTTTCTTATGATTTGTTTTCAGAGTCTTTGTTTGAATCACGTCAGTAAATTCATAAGGCATCTGCAGACCTCATGGTTTTATCAATGGACTTTAGTGATTTTATTATTCTTACTTTCACGTTATAGAAGTGAGTGCTGTGTTCATTAGACACATTAAAGCCAATGAAAACCTGAACTATTACTAAAAAGTAAAAGAGGCTCAGAGAAGGAGCACTTAACACCGGGCCCAATTTTTTCAACATTCAACAATAGTACTGGAAACCGAACCATCAATTTGACTGAACGAAATGTAAAAAAAAAACAAAAGACTTTATTTGTATCTATTCATTAAAATGAAGTTTTTAAAAAACCCTACCATTAAACTGAAAATTCCAGAAAACAAAGTCTAATAAAACTAACAACCCCTTTCCTCTCACCACGTTTACTCTGACCCCAGGGGCCTACACCCCAGACTAAATTGGCACTTTTAGCTCTTTCTACCATTATTCGGGGCTGATGATAAAACAGCCCTTTGTCCTACTTTATAGTCAGGGAATCTGTCCATTAAAAAGAGCCCCTTTAACCTGCAACAAAGATGTAACACTTTCGTCATATTCAGCAGCAGGCATGATGCACAGCAGATTTTAAGCAGATTTTCCACAAAGCAATGACTTTTCCAGGTGCATGTGACACATGACTGCGTCTCTTATTCCAGCTGTTCGCCCCGCTTGAAAAACACTTCAGTTGCCAGGGCCCTACAAAGTTACAGTTTTTGTTCTGCTTATGCTGAAAGACTAAGCAGTCCCTGCCTTCTGACCTTGTCTGTTTGTGTTAACCCAAATTCCTTATAATCAGCAGCAAGAGGCAGGAATGTAATGTGTACTGCATACTGGGGGGTTGACGTTATCTGGGTGAACACAACTGTGTGTTGCCAATACATGTGGGAGTAGCAGTGACCTCTGCACTTTGCTGGAATCTGCGTTAAGTGGTGTAAGTTTCTGCAATAACTCTGTGAAAACTTCCACACTGGATTTGCATTCCTTTTCGAGCGACAGAGCGAATCTCAGTGGGTGAGCAGGGGGAGAAGGGGGAGATAGATGAGTAAAAGAGGAGCAGTGAAATGAAAAACAAGTCTTTTTTTTTCTTTTTTGTATGTACACTGGCATTGTGCCTCTCTATTTACATGCATGTGCAATATTGATACAAGATATTTTTGTATATACAAAAAAGAAAACAAATGAATGCACCGACATGGGGAAGGAGAAAACAACACAGAAACAAATATGTGTAGTTTTGCAATTCTACCAGAGGTTACAGACCCAGAAAGCCTTGGATCCTTCTGCTCTGTGTGTGTATTGCACTCCCCCACACACCCTCCACACGCAGTCTCTCGGTTATGGAGGGCAGCTCAGTAGAGGAGTAATGTTATCACAACTAACTTTGTGGAAGCCACCTGTAGACAAACTCTCAGATTCACTGCCTTCCAGTGAAGTAAAATCCCAAAATGCCGGCAGACCTTGAAGTGTAGCAATAGGTGATTTTGAGGATGAAAAAAAGTGGATGTCTCAATAAAATGAAGACATGCTGTTAGTTGGGAGGTGGACTCTTCATTGAGGACTTAAGAAACCTTAAACTAAATTAAAAAAATAGAAAGAAGTGGGAGTTCTGGTGTTAGCTACAGTTTATCCGAGTTAAAAATAGCAATAGAAATTCATCTTTCGATGGACTTTTAAAATGTATGGTGGGTTTATGGCTGTCTAGGCACTGTTGTGACTTCGACGCCCTCTGCTGGACAAACTCTGAGCCAAGTTTGCCTGTTACTTATGAACAGAGGATACTGTATCTTTGCATGTGCCAGTTTGTGTAAGGAAGCTAATGGGGGGGAGGGGCGCACATTTTAGAATAATATGACATGTCAAGATGAAATAAGTGTTTAAACCTAAGAAAATAAATGCAAATTATAATTGTAATATAAGAGATTCCAAGACAACATTCTCAGGATGACTGACCAACCAACGAGCAGCTCAAACCAATACTAGCCAATAGGATGAGGGCGGGGGTGGGACATGTGCGTCTCGATGACGACGGAGTAGTGTCGTATTTGTGCGATAATTCACCCTCTGTGGGGTCGATAGCTCCCTAAAATCCATCTTATACGCCCTCATAACATGGATGGGTCAATCAGCACGAAAGCAAATGGTTTGTGCTGACAAATACGGCGCTTTAGACACTTTCTCCCTTCTAGTTTTACAGCCAATGGACGCGCGACGTGGTGACGTAAACGTAGCTCGCAGTGAGGTGTAGCGTGCTAAAACATTGTTATAGTCCATATAGTGCGTGCTAAAACATTGTTATAGTCCATAACATGTAGCGTTTTGCCTGTCCGTCTAAATAAGTAAATTAAACGGTCATATCTGAACCGGTGTTCTGTCGAATTTGTATGTCTGTATACAAATTTGAACGCTAAAGCGATCGGTTTGTAGTTTTAAACACATACAGAACATAGACGGGGTTTTTAATAGACAGAAATGCATGACCTCTCATTTTAGAATAATCCTTGCCTAATTTACTATTTGCTTTTATTACAAACTAGTGTGCCTAAAATTTAACACGCCAGAATACAGACAGCCAGACATGACGGTGTATGACCAGTCTGACACAGAATTAGTGCAGGAGTCAGCTCATCATGTTGAGCAATGATGGATATGGTAATCATTCAAACAACTCACTTATGTGTTTATTCATATAGGCTCTGATGTGACTATTTATCATCATATTAAAATACAATTGCAGTATATAACCTAATATGGTTCTATTTTGTACACATTTCTTGCACAGGTGCCTCTCAGTCGTCATTATGCTCAGTAGCCTCTGATGACAGTCATCCTGAATTGTGTGTGTGTGTGAAGAAGCAGCTGCTGAAGAAGGAAGCCAGCCTTAAAGGCCATGCCTTACAAACTATGATGCAAAAGCGGTAGGCAATGGATATCACTATTGAGTCCAAGCTAAATGTTGTTTCATGTCATGGAGAATGTTTAAAAAAACTCTTGATATTTAATGTAGGCTATAATATTTAATAGTCTAAATGTTTAATAAAAAATAGCCTCAATCTAATTTTATTTATTAAATTGGCCAAAATATTTTATATAAAGCCTGGAGGTGAGCACATTATGCAAGAATATGGGAAAACCAAGTCTCTCACAGATGCCACCAGACGACAGACGATTAACATTCTCACTGCTGAGATGACAGAAACCCATGGGTAAGCATTGATATTGATATACAGATAGATGTCTCCTTGGTTTTCCCACGTTTTCTGGACACGCCAGGACTTGTACAACATCTTAATTCAATTATTTCATGGGAATTTCCGGTATAGCCACAATGCAGTAACTCTCATTGTTACTCTTTGTTTGTATGTGTCTGTGTTACAGAACGAGCAAGATTTCAGACTTTTGTTTGGATAGACCACTGCCAACATATTCTTGGAGAAGTGGCCAACTTCTGTCAAAGCTAAAGTAATAATGGAGAGTCATCGACTTGTACCCACTACAGAACTCCTGGATTTGATGCGCAGTGCAGAGTCAGCGGCTGAAGTTGAGAATGGTACGACTTTGTTTACTTGATATTTCTGATTGCACACGTGTGCAGTGCCCTTTTTGGTAATGGTGCTTACTGCCCACATTTGATTGTCTGTGGCAGAGTTGAATCTAAAATGCCCCTGTTTTTTTAGTTTGATTATTGAATTGTTTTGGTTATTGTGCTGATTATAGATGGAAAACTGTTATTGCTTACTGTGCCTTTAATTCCAATTACTTTTCAAGAGCATCTCCATGCATATGAAGTGAGTAGGTCAAAGCATGATTTTGTTCACTTTCATGTGGACAACCTGCAATATTCTAGGCCTTTTGACCTACAAAGGTCATGTGGAGTGAATAACTCTTCATTATTCATTGTCCCATATTGCTTTCTTTTGTAAGCTTTCATTTTTATTTTAATATATCACAGAGACAATGCAAATATGGAGATCACAGGCACCTTAATGATTTCTAAAATAAATACTGGCACTGGTAATACTATGTTATATCCTGTTTGTTCTCATTTCATAGTACATCACAGTAATTCTGTAATGCTACTTCAAATGTAGTAAAAGCACAGAGAATCTAAGGATAAAGAGAATTACACATTAAAGTGTCTTTTTTTTAGTAAATTTGGAGTTAACTGGGTTCTCTTCAGTGTAACCATATTACTCTGAACAGTGTAACTATGCCACAGTGTTAAATATTTGTTCACATTCCATTGTTAATATTTGCACAGAGTAGAGTAGGATTTACTCTGAAAATGTTACACTGACCATAGAGTAAAATTTGCACTAATTTTGAGTGGGACCAAATGTTATCTGAAACAAAGTTAAGTTCAACTCTTTTTATTTTTTTGCATTTTTTGTGA